TAGAATAGAGCGATCTGGAGTTGATCTCCATGGAACATGGTGTTCCTTCCACGTGGACGGTCACATGGAACTTGTTGGATCCCTCAGCAGCGGCGTGCGCTATGGTGGTCTGATTGACCCCTCTGCTCTTCGTGTAGCCTTCTCCCTCGCGCCTGGGGTATTGGGACCGTCTGGATGACCTCTGGTTCTCGCGGTCGCGGGTTCTGGGAGCCTCCATGACCAGTTCTGTCGCTCTGCATGCCTCGGCAATGTGGCCCTTCCTCCTGCAATGCCTGCAGGTCGCATCCCGCCAGCAACATCTGGCGTGCATGTGATCCCCATTACAGCTGGCACAGCATTCCTCTCGTCCACCATCTTGAGGGTTTTCCCGCCGTTGGGGTCTGAGAACCTTGTGGACGGCCATTTTGGCTTCGGACTCTGACCCCGTCGTGGTCTCGTCTGATGATGGTTGGGGGATCTTGTGGATCCCCTTAGACCTCCTCATAGTGGCTGCTGCTCTCTCTGACGATTCTGCAGCTGTAGCTTCTTTGATCACATCTCTCAGTGAGATCTTCTTACGGCCGAGGAGTTTCTTCTGGACAGAAACGTCCCTCATCCCAAAGACGATCCGGTCTCTCAGTTGGATGTCCACGTTCTCAAACTCACAGCTGGCTGTGATTGTCCGGAGCGCAGATACAAAGTCCTTAACAAATTCGCCATCCCGTTGATTCCCCTGGTGGAAATCAAACTCGTTGGCCAACGGGGTGCTAGTTGGAGCATAATGCTCTTGCGGGACTTCCTGTAGTTCGGTCCAAGGCATCAGCTCAATGTCCCTCGGTGCCATGAGATCCATGGCCATTTCCAGGACCCCAGAGCTGCAGTGAGCCAGGAACAGGGCTCACTTCCGGTTGTCATCCAGGTCGGTGAAGCCGCTGCCCGCCAGGAATTGTCTGAACCGGACCATGAAGGACTTCCATTTCTCCTGGTTAGGATCGAACGGAGCCAGCGAGATCTGTGGTCCAGACATGGTTCTGTGGTTCAGTTTCAGTGACTCCGCTCAAGTGACTCAGCTCTTGGTAGATGGTGGCGACCGTGCCACGAGGTATGCTGTCGGTTCTTTTGTGTACTTCGTTGCCAGTGTTAGATTGGCGCAGGGAAAAGAAAACACGACTCAGCAGAGGTCCATTCAGCACTTTATTCAGTTCATGTGGAACTGCCGGCTGAGCTGCCGAGCCCTCCTGATATACAAGTCCGGCAAGCTAGCCGGCCAAAGACATCCATTTAAACTTCCTGCCAGTGGATTAGCCAACCACCGATGGATGCCCATATAAAGACACAACACATTCCATGTGCCTTTGGTGTTTAGTCATGCCGGCCATATGATCACAGAGACGTCTTTGGACAGTGCTGGCTCTTCGGCTTAGAAACGGAGATGAGCACCACCCCCTAGAGTCATGAATGACTAGCACATATATGTGAGGGGAACCTTTACCTTTATTCCTATCTCACCATAAACAAATGGAAGAACAGAAATAAAAAGATATTTTAAATTATCCCGCCTCTCAGAGATATGGAAAGAAAACTGAAATTGTTTTTAATGAATATAATTAAAACTAAAATGTTGAGGAAAGAAAGTAACCAGACACTGAACTTTCACTTTGAAATAGCCCTAAAGATTTCATTCATCACTTGTTTATTCTGATATCCCTAATAGATAGCTATGGCAAATATTCTATTGTAAGGAAATCTCAATAAAGCCAGATAAAAAACATAGTGTATTCTAGCTTGCTTGTTTATTTGCTTAGTAGCTTCATGCCTTTCAAACTCTTGCAGATTACAATACGTTTCTTTAATACAGAGGAATGCATTGAACAATTTCCTTTGAAAAGCCCATACTGTTCCCAACAATAGATCCATTCAGATGCCTTTTTCGATATTCAGAATGCTTGAGCAGGCAACACCATAACATACATACAGTAGGAGGCCCACGTTGATTTCCATCTGAAGGTTAACCTCCCCCAAAGATTTCAGTGGAATAAAAATACCATGATAGAGCTGAAGATTGGCAGAGAAATGCCTAAACCTGAAGATGCTCCAAAACAGTGCTCAAAATCATCCTCTCCCAATTTGTCCCTTTGCAATGCTTAAAAATTACCGTATTTTTCACAGTATAAGATGCACCGGAGTATAAGACGCACCTTAGTTTTTGGGGAGGAAAATAAGAAAAAAGCTTGATGTTGGGTGGATCGCCCTCCTGGAATACCTCCAATCAATTGTTCCCAGAGGTGAATTTTAGCAATAGGTTCCTTGGTTGTGAGCTCTGTGCCTGGATTTTTTTTCTGCCTCTGAAACTCCATTTCAGAAAAAACTGCCTCCAAAACAGAGCTTCAGGAAAAAAAAAGGCTTTTTTTCAGAAGCTTCTTTCAGAGGCTTTTATTCGGAAGGACTATCTGTACTCTGTTCAATCTCCTTTCTTTGGTATTGGTATATAGATTAACCTCTTCCGATCTGTTGGTTATTGTGTCATTCTCCAGATTTGTTAGCATAGTTTGGTTAGAACCTTTACTGATTCTTCTTTTTTTGCTTGCCATATTGTTTTAAATAAAAGCGTTTCAGAGGCTTTTTTTCTGAAGCTCTGTTTGGAGGCTTTTTTTCTGAAGCTTCTTTCAGAGGCTTCTTTCAGCCTCTGAAATCTCTGTTTGCGAGGCTACATTCAGAGTATAAAACGCACCCAGATTTTCACCCTCTTTTTTGAGGGGGGGGGGAAGTGCGTTTTATACTCCGAAAAATACGGTAATGAAAGTTGTGAGCCAGGATTTCTGGAAGGTTATATATCTTTGCAAATTTAAGCATAAAAATTCAAATAAAAATTCAACTTTTATGAAAGAACAAGGAACATCTCCAAAAAATGTTGTCTTCAGAAAAGAACCAGGACAGTGATGCGCTATCTTTCTCTGACCAAGAGAAAAGGAGAAGAAACACTGAGATTCTTTGAGATGTCAATTGACTGATTTTATATGTTAAGACAGATAAATAAATAAAAAAACACCCCAACTTTTTAAAAAATCCATTCGAAAACTATTTTGTGAAACTATGGCATCCAATACTGCATAAGTATTTCTCTCAGTTTTTCCTTCATTCTGGACTCTCCCAAAGTGACATTTTGCATTCTTGAGGCATATTAATGTATTGTTTTATCTCTTCTTAACCAATTATAAAATGCCAATTGTCACAGGTTTTACATGTGGGGAAAAAGAAATGTCAAAATAATTGGGACAGATATGGTTGTCAGAGTGTATACCATTCCACATGAAGCTTAAATACATCTAAGATAAAATCTGAAAATTCTCTAAATATCGAAGAGTTTGTGCAAGGTCCAAAATGAAGCTGCTTAGAGTGCCTTGTAATTAGATAATGCTATTGTTTTCATCCTCTGGTTCTCCAAAATTCAGCAGAGTTAGTTACAGTATTGCTCGGATTGAGGATTACTTGGTAATTTCAAGGTTATTGAATAAGTGTAAAAATAAAAAAAAAAAGGGAAAATTTTGGGAGAAGAAAATGTCACATCAATTATACAGCTCTGTTGGGATGCATTCATGGATGCTGTCATCAGGAGCTCAGCTCAACATGCATGCATATACACACACAACTAAATCTTCTTTGTTATTAGTCATACCGTTTTTAAATCTAGCAGGAAGCATTCCGAAACCTTGGCGTAATAGTTCTAACTGTTCTAATTTTGTATAATTTTTCATTGTGCATCTTGTTTCCTTCTGCTTAGGAGAATACTTTTATTTTGAAAAACCCATGAGATTATTCACCCTTCCATTTGAGCATTCATTTCCTATGCGTTATCACACATCAGATGACAGACAGCAAGAATGAGACCTTGCGGGAAATTTCCCTGTAATTTAGAAAATAAAAATAATTGGCAGTGTCTCCTCTCCCAGCTGAGCTTGATTCAGCTAGTAATTTGAAGATAGGAATACTAAAGTACCCACTTGCTCCTTCAATGTATTCTAACACAGTTTAATTCTTATAAAAAGTACATGTCCACCTGTTCATTCCTCTTGGTACCACTTAGAAAAATAATGGATAGGGAAGGGATTCCTCTTAAGTACCGAAACGCATTGCTGAAAAAAAAAATAACTGAAGACATCTATAAACAGTGGCTGGCAATGCCTATGGCATAATATGAGATGAAGAAACATCTACCTCAGTGGTGAAATCCAATTTTTTTTACTACCGGTTCTGTTGGCGTGGCTTGGTGGGTGTGGTGTGGCTTGTTGGGAGTGGTTTGGTGGGCGTGGCAGGGAAAGGTCACATTTGGTCACCAAAATGAATTGGTCACATTTTATGACCAATTCATGCAAAACTCCACTTAAACCTAGACTAGTCCTTTGAAACTGATAAGGCTGTATGGATGGTTGAACCCCACATTATATTACTTTTTGTGGAAATTGTTTTCTCTTTCACCTAATATTTTAATATTGATATCTCATTGTTCCTAATAGAAACGTTTATGTGTATAAGGGACGTTGTGTCAAAAAGTCAATGTGATTGTGTATCTCAAGCTGTAGTTGCTTTTTACATATGTGACCCATATAAAACTTCTTAAAAAAAGAATGGGCTTTTGTCACCTAGTTATAGCACTAGCGATAACACTTAGACTTATATGCTACTTCACAGTGCTTTGCAACCCTCTCTAAGTGGTTTACAGAGTCAGCCTGTTTCCCCCAGCAATCTGGCTCCTCATTTTACCACCCTCGGAAGGATGGAAGCCTGAGTCAACCTTGAGCCAGTTCAGAATCGAACTGTTGACAGTCGGCAGAATTAGCTTGCAATACTTCATTCTAACCACTGCACCACCACGGCTCAGTGTCATCTGGACATAGGTGCCATCTTGACATTCTTGCCTGCTGCATGAATGCCCTTGATTGATAGCTAAACCCAAGCTATCTAATTAAAAACGCACTGTCCCTGCTCCCCTTTCTGATATACAATTGTATTTTGATTTTCAGCAACAGCTGGCCAAGAATATTAAATTTGGCCAACCCTCACAAATGACAGTATCTGTGAAAACACCTGGGGAAGCTAGTGGAAGTTTGGAAGCAGATGTGTTGCTGAATAACCCCATGGAGACTGTGATGCCACCGGATGTGGTCCTTCCAGAAAACCACCACAAAGTAAGTCTAATTGATGGTGAGGAGCCAATTGCCAATCTTCTAAATGAACAAATATATATGTTTATGGAAGATGTTCGATGACATTAACTGAATGATGAATTATGCATTGCAAAGAAATCCAGCCATTTGGGAGACAGTGTGGTAGTCCTAAAGTTTTTAGGACCTTGGGTGCAGAGGTGGTATTCAACGGGTTTGGACTGGTTTGCCCGAACCGGTAGTGGAAATCGCGGGTGAGGTGGGTTCTTACATTCAAAGTATTTTATCTTTGAACTGGAAATGCCATTTAAGCCCAGCGAATGCAAAGCAGTGGTCTTTGGTGGAGACTCTTGCCTTCTAGCAATGTCCTCAGACAATTGGAAAAGAGACACAAATGCAGAACTCCTGTTATGCCAGGAAAGGGGGCTGGAGATTCCTGCTATAAAGATTAATGTAACATTTTCAGTGATTTGTCTTTATATTTTGACATTGATTTCCCTGTCATAAAGGTAAAGGTGCCCCTCGCACATATGTGCTAGTCGTTCTCGACTCTAGGGAGCGGTACTCATCTCCGTTTCATAGCTGAAGAGCCAGCTGTCAAGTTTCCGAAAGATGCCCTAATTAATTCACGAGCCATGATCCAAACTTCAAAGGAAATATAGTGATTTATTAGGAGCAACATTCCAGCAATACTCGGATGTCCGAAGAAATCTCCGTGGTCATGTGGCCGGCATGACTAAATGCCAAAGGCACACGGAACGCTGTTACCTTCCCACCAAAGGTGGTCCCTATTTTTCTACTTGCATTTTTTACGTGCTTTCGAACTGCTAGGTTGGCAGAAGCTGGGACAAGTAACGGGAGCACACCCCGTTACGCGGCACTAGGGATTCGAACCGCTGAACTGCCGACCTTTCGATCGACACATTCAGCGTCTAAGGGATAATAGCATCCATCTAATCGCTAATAACATTATGACTTTTAGAGCATTTCAAAGTACTGTACTGTTGATTCATGTAAATAGAGTTTTTACTGGTTGAAGATTCTTGTCTATGTCTTTTCTGGACCACTCTGCTGCTTTCTTTTCTCTTCCTCCTGCATTTCTTATTTTCATCTTCTCTGCTTTTCCTTCCGCACCTACTTTGCTGTTGTACATTCTCTCTCTTTCTTTTCATCCTAACCCACTTCCTAACTCTAACCCTAACTCCCTTCCATTCCTGCTCTCTTTATTTTCTACAACTTGCCTTGCGAAGCCCTTGGGACGAGGCATTACATAAGCATATCATGGCAACGTATTTCACAGTGAAACTAGAATGACATCTGCTGAAACATAGGAAAGTCCATGGAGACTTTTCAAGGCAGATAAGTAACTTTCAATTCTGCGGTCCAACGCAGTTAATATATGTTGGAAAATGTACAAAATGTTAATAAGTAATTCCCCAAAATTTATATGTTCGTATGTCCCTGCAACGGGAGAGAATTTGTAGGTACCAGTTCAGTGAGTTACAAAATTAGTAGATATAAGCTTAGGTACACTATTTATATACCGTATTTTTCAGAATATATGATGCTCCGGAGCATAAGATGCACCTTAGTTTTTGGGGAGGAAAATAGGGGAAAAAAATTCTGCCTCTGCCTACCAGGTATTCATCTGGCTACTGTCTTTAGCCTGGTCAGCTTCAGCACATTAGTTCACTGGTTGTGGCTGCTAAGCAGCTTCAAAAGCCCAGCTGATCGTCAGAGGGAACTCCAGTGAGTAAAGCAGGCGAAGCGCGGAAGCGGTAAGACAAGGCAGCAGCTGTTCTGGATTGCCATTTTGGGCTCCACGTTCTGTGTTTTCAGCCTCCAAACGTTCTGTTTGAGAGCTGTTCAAGGCTCTAGGGATCACCAAAACACATCGCCGCCAATCACTGCCCGAAAATACGATGCGCAGAGGCCAAAAACGGAGATATATAGGATTGGCACACCGTGTGTGGCCTGTGGTTTGTATACCCCCATCCCTCAGATAAATGATTGCCCAAGGATAACTTTGGGACGTGGTGGCTCAGTGGCTAAAACACTAAGCTTGTCGATCAGAAGGTCAGAAGGTCAGTAGTTCAGCGGTTCGAATCCCTAGCGCCACCTAATAGGGTGAGCTCCCATTACTTGTCCCAGCTTCTGCCAACCTAGCAGTTCGAAAGTAGGTAAAAAATGCAAGTAGAAAAATAGGGACCACCTTTGATGGGAAAGTAACAGCATTCCGTGCACCTTCAGCGTTTAACACCATGGAGACGTCTTCGGACAGCGCTGACTCTTCAGCTTTGAAATGGAGATGAGCACCGCCCCCTGAGCCGGAAACGACTAGCACGCATTATGTGGGGGAACTTTTACCTTTTAAAGATAACTGCACCAAACCTCCACATTTCTTGGCTTTTGATGAAGATCAAATGCTTCCTACTGGGGAAAACTTTTTAAAAGGTCGTTTAGGAATATTCTTCTCCAGCCAGCATGGGAGCTTTGACTAGGACTGTTTATATATTGCTTAACAGCGCCCAAAACAGGAAGAGGCTTTTAATAAAGGAAAGAAAATGAATACATGTTTTGCCTCTAGCTTGAGTTTTTAGTAGGACTGGACACTTTAAAAGAAAGAAAGAAAGATGAGAATTTGGATTATAGTGCACATTCAATTGACCCAATCAATTTTTTTAAAAATGAGAATATTTGGATTTATAATGCACAATTGACCCACTCCCTTAGATAAGTAGCACATGCATTTATAAGTAACCTTCATTAAACTCTTACTGAATTCATAGGGTTTTTTTAATAAGCCTGACTTTTTACTGTTGTTTTTTCATAGCTGTAGGAAAGGGAGGAAAAACAGAAAAACATCCATCCTTTTAGGTGTCAGCACTCCAAGCTATATTCACTCCAGTGCTAACATAAGGAAGAGAAGAGGACGCTTGACACTTCACCTACTTATTTTCCCTGAAGATATTATCCCCTAGGAGATGGGATGGGAGGGGGGACATTCCTGTGAGCTGAAGTAGTAGATATGGGGAGAGTGATTTGGAAGATGGCCAATGAGACGCAGAGAATTGGGGAACGGAAAGGGAGGGTTTGGGGTCAGAAGGTCAGTGCTAACTACGATGGACTCGGGGACAAATCATTGTGCTCAATAAATGAAAGATTTCATCATTTCATTTGTTTGGAAATGCAATTTATTTGAGACGACATCGTAACCTGACATTAGGCCTGCAATCCAGCTTCCTCTTTCACGATTTAAAATAGCTGGAAAAGAAGGGAACAAATCTGTTTATTCAGTCAATTTGCCCAACAAATTGAAATGGAATTAGATTAGGTATTACAACAAAACATTGTAATGGGATCTTATTATGACTGTGATATAAAAGCATTTGGTGCTTCTAGAAAACATGAGTCTACAATGTATTCGAAGTTGCAATAGTTTTGTATGATATTCATATTTTTTTTTCTAGTCAGCTGTGATGCCAGATTCCTTAAGTCCCACAAGTCTGGGTGAAACAAGTCAAGACAGAGATGAGAAGGTAACAGAAATAAGACATTAGTGGCACTTCTTTCTTAAAGGCCACTTCTAAAATTGCAACAAATTACACCAAAATGTCTAATCACATTTCTTAATGGGCAACTCAGACCAGGGTTGGGTTCCAAATTCTGTTGCTACTGGTTCGCTTGTGGGCGCGCACTCGCACGCACGTGCAGTGCTTCTGCGCATGTGCAGAAGCGTCCAGGCAGGTGGGCGGAGCCTCCTGCCACAGCCGCTACCAGTTCGCACTGGATCGGGCGAACTGGTAGCAACCCACCACTGACTCAGACTGAGCTAAACTTCTACCTTTGAATCTTGAGTTGTAGGCCGCTGAGTTAAAACCATGGTATGGCTTTCAATTTTATGACATTTATCTGTCTGTGCCTGTTGACGTTCTATTGGTTCCAGTCAGTTTCTTTTGCTTAGCTATAAAGAGAACCTCAACTCTACATACTGTTCTGGGGAGCTATCAAAAGTAGATTTTCTCATCTGGTCAAACTCACAATGGCTGCCATTTTGTGACTCGATGAATTTACCCATAGCATTTCTTTGGTGAGGCATATCAGACATCAATCAGAATAGAACTGGAAGGGACCTTAGAGGCCTTCTGGTCCAACCCCCCCACCCCTCACCCCCGCTCAAGCAGAAGACCTTTTACCATTTCAGACAGGCTGTCTTGTCTTTTCTTAAAAACCTCCAGTAATGAAGCACCTACAATGTCTGAAGGTAAGCTGTTCCACTGGTTAATTGCTCTCACTTATTATTATACAGTTATTCTCAAAATTCCAAATGTCCCATGGATCAGAATTATTTGAGGATGACAGTATTACTGCAAGCTGCAATAGAAAGGATAACTGGGAGTTTAGCATGAAACTCTGCCTCAGCTTCAGTTCAGCTTCTGGTCCATAGCCATACCAAGGCATTATCTTTCCTTGGCTTCCACACTACTACAATACAGCGGAGAATGGCTATACTTCCTGGATTACTAAATTGTAAACTTTTGTTCAGGTTGTAGTCCAGATTTTTTGGGGAAAGCAAGCATAATAATAATAATAATAATAATAATAATAATAATAACAACAACAACAACAACAACAACAACAACAACAACAACAACGTCATGACTGTGTTGCTAAGATCATTCACTGAAAATTGTGTCAGAAGTTTGGATCTGAGTACAGCAAAAACCACTGGGAACATCAGTTGAGAAAGTTTTAGAGAATGAGAAACTCAAGATCTTGTGGGACTTTAGGATTCAGACTGACAGGCACTTGGTCCACAACACACCTGACATAACAATAGTTGAAAAGAAAAAAGTATGGTTCATTGACATTGCAATACCTGGGGATGCACGGATTGAAGATAAGCAGCAAGAAAAAAATCACAAAGTACCGGGACTTGCAAATTGAAGTTGAGCGACTGTGGAAAAAGAAATCGTATGTTGTCCTGATTGTAATTGGAGCCCTTGGAGCAATACCCAAAGGGCTACCCCGCTATTTAGAAATTCTAAATTTGCTGGACTTGAACATTTTGACTCTACAAAAAACCACCTTACTCGGAACAGTTTACATCCTCCGATGATACCTTAACAGTTCCTAGGTCCTTGGTTAGGACTCGAGCTGCTGAGCTATTAACCAGCCTCAAAGGCTGTGAATCTCACTAAAGATTAACCAATAATAACAACAACAACAACAACTTTATTGTCATTGTATCCATATACACAGTATACCCATACAACGAAATTCACTTAACACCCAAAGACCAGGTCCAACACATATAACAATCCCCAAACACACTCCCACCCACCACAAATTCCCCACCCCTAAACCACTGAAACATTCACACAATAGACCAAGTAATGCTGTCCAACAGCTCACTGATGGTGGCCCTTTTAGTTCATGGTTGAGTGCAATTATATCTCTGGGATAAAAACGATTCCGAAAACGTGGTGGTCGGAGTTTTAATTGTTCTGTATCTTCTGCCAGAAGGCAACAGTCCAAAAAGATTGTAAGCAGGATGGGAAGAGTCTCTGAGAATGTTATGCAACTTCCTCAAACAGCGAGATTCGAAGATGTCGTCCAGGGCTGGTAGCTGGAGCCCAATGATATTCTGGGCAGTTTTAATGATTCTCTGTAGAGCTTTTTTGTCCGCTACAGAGCTGCTCCCATACCATGCAAGAATGCCATATGTCAAGACACTTTCAATGGTGCTGCGATAGTAGGACAGAAGTAGATGCTGAGATAGATTTATCTTCCTGAGCATTTCTCAGGAAGTACAGCCTCTTCTGTGCCTTCTTCACAAGCATGTTTGTTTGTTTGTTTGTTTGTTTGTTTGTTTGTGTATGTATGTATGTATGTATGTATGTATGTATGTATGTATGTAATTTATATGCCGCCCTTCTCCCGAAGGATTCAGGGCGGCTTACAAAGAAAACATTCAACAATTTGAAAATTACATAAAAATTAAAATCCAATTAAAATTAATTAAAATTATTTCAATGTAAAAATCCCCCAACGGATCAGCCCATTTGATAAAAGAGCCACGTCTTCAGTTCGCAGCGGAAGGAGCGGAGGTTGGGGGCTGTCCTAAGCCCGGTGGGCAAACCGTTCCAGAGGGTTGGCGCTCCCACAGAGAACGCTCTCCCCCTGGGGGCCGCCAGCCGACATTGTCTGGCTGACGGCACCCTGAGGAGGCCCGCTTTGTGGGAGCGCACAGGACGATGGGAGGATGGCAGGAGATGATTCTGCAGGTACCCCAGGCCTAAGCCATGTAGGGCTTTATAGGTGAGCACCAGCACCTTGAAACGGACCTGGAGGACCACCGGTAGCCAGTGCAGCTGGCGCAGGAGAGGTGTCACTCGGAGGTAAAGAGAAGCCCCCGTAACAACCCGCGTGGCCGCATTCTGGATTAGCTGTAGCCTCTGGGTGCATCCCAAGGGCAGCCCCATGTTAACATTCATAGTCCATGAGAGGTCCTATATAATAGACTATGTCTGCAGAGAGATTCTCCACAGCTTAGTTCAGGACTTCACTAATAAGGCATAAATATGGGAACATCATTCATAGGGGAAGCTACCATTCTGAAGAGATTTTTGTCACATGGTTTTGTTAACAGCGGGGATGTTCAAAAGGTCATACATTTGCTGTTGTGAAAGCCAAAGAAATACTTGCCTGGTACCAGTTCTTACGTGTGCAGTGGCAGGGGTAGGCGTTTATGATGGGAAAGGTCTCCAATCAACTCCCCGTGCTGTTCTTTCAGTGGGTGGAAAATCACCGAAGAAGGTGTTTAGAAGAAGTTAACTCATGATGACAAAGCAATCCATTTGTATTCAAGGAACTGCTCTTGAAAGTTTGTTCAGCTAAAATGAGTTTCGTGCCAATGCATTTTTAGTTGCAATGAGTCTTGAACTAGACAGCTCGGTAAAAAATCATATTGTGTGGTGCGGAGCGGGGGTGGGGGTGGGGGGGAAAGGGTGCCCTCTGTCAGATTATGGAGTTAGTCAGGGGTGGGCTTCAAAAATTTTAGCAAGGGATTCTCTGCCCAGTTGCTGAGTTGGCGTTGCCATGGTGGACGTGGCCTAGTCAGCCTCCTGCACCACAGTGAGGGGGGGACAGGACATTTTTGCCCTCCCTGGGCTCCAGAGGCTTTCCTTGAGCCTCACGGAGGGCAAATATGGCCTCCCCAGGCTCCGGAGGCCCTCTGGAGGAACTTCCCAAACTTCCGGTAGGCCCATTTTTCGCCCTCCCTGCACCTCTGTGTGCGCCCTGCACTTACCTGCATCCAAAACGGGCCGTGTGGGGACTCCTGGGAGGGGCTGGGTGGGAAGGGCCAGCCAGGAGTGGGATTTGGGGGTTCTCCAAACTGCATAGAATCTTAGCTAGAGGTTCTCCCGAACCCCTGCGAACCCCCAGCAGCCCACCCCTGGAATTAGTGTCTCTGAAGATTCTCAGTCATCGAAGTCGTGGTTGTCCCACAGGGGGCCTTTTCAGAAGGCAACTGGACTTCCTTTGTCTTTTCTTTGAAGACATTTCTGTCAAGTATTTGCAAGCCATTGGCATATGTGTCATATAGACACCAGTGGAGGCAGAGAGTGTCTCCACCCCTATGTGGAAAGGAGGAGCTTACCCTGAGTATAAAACCGCCTCCAACCTTTTCCACCTTGCGCTCTCTCCATCTCTCTCTTTTCATGTTTGTTCCTCATGAGACTTGATCTCTGTTGTACATAGTTAATATGATTTATCATATGAATAAATACGTTTAAGACATTTATTTATGCACCTGCCTCTGAACTCTTCTATGCTCCTGGGTGTTTCTACGATCCCAACTCCACAATTTCGCTTCTCATCCAAGAAGCTTCTTTAGTTCTGAATGGTGGGGGGGATGGAAGGATTTCTATTCCTTGCAGTCATCTGGTCGTTAGCACTCTCTCTGAGAGTTGTTGAAGCCACTTGGGGACACAGGAAGCTATAAAAATAAAGAAGGAAAGTTCCAAAAAGAAACTCCCGAACCTGGCTTTGAATTCATTTCTAGAGTGGTTACTGGATTTGGAATTTGTTTTGCTTTAAACACAGGATCTCGTTTCTTTCCATCATTTTTCCTTTTTCTTGGGAATTTCTCTAGGTGACGCCTGTCAAAGTGTCATCTCGGCCAAAACGACACCATTCCCCTTCTGGAACCATCGAAACCGTCAACCTTGATGCTATCCCATTACCCACTTCTTGCCTGGACAACAGTGCAGCAAAGCACAAACTCTCAGTCAGGCCAAAGAATCAGAGGGTTTCCAAAAAGCACAGATTGTCAAAGGTATTGAACTGATTCCTACGGAGTTCTGACTTTTAGCTGCTGATTGTAAGACATTAGAGCTCTTGTAAGAATATTAAGTAACCTTCGAATCTTTCAGTATTACACTTCCGCTGGTATTTGTTAAGGATATGGGTGTTGTGTTACCAACCAGCAGAGTAAATGCACAAGGAAACGTTGCTGAGAGCAATGAATAAGAGATATGCAAACTGGTTTATCAAAAGTTTACTTTATAGTAGAAAAACAGTCTCATAGTCTTTAAACAAATTCCAAGTCTTTGCCAGTAAATCAGTCCAGTAGTTACAGATATCTTCTTACCAAACAGTAGTGGGTTAGAATAACAAACTCACTCTGGTTCACAAACCACGATGGTAGCAGATCCATCCAACGATGATTACAGATAACAACTCCTCTCAATGTTGCTTATCATAGCAGCTTCATCATCAACGGCAGCATATCATAGCAGCTTCATCATCAACGGCAGCATATCATAGCAGCAACTGAACATGTTACAATACCTTGCTTAAATACTCTCACAACCAGTCATTACCTAATTACAGCATGACTCAGCATTAAAGTCACATAATACATTTACAGATTAAAGTAACAGTACACATATATTGCCTGGACAACTAGTTAGGCTCAAACCATATCCTAACAGTATTCATGGATTTGAATCGACCTCACACCATTTGGGAGATTCACTGCCCTGCTATATACAATGATCATTTCTCAGATATAAAGTCATAATGGTTAAGTTCCGCTATTTTGTTGACTGACCTGCATTCAATATGCTTTTTTCCTGTTCATCTGTAAAAGAAATGTACATAGACTTCAAAAACGTATATACTGTAGAGATAAATGATATTTACACACCATTTAAAAGAGACAATAAAAAGCTAAGGAGGAAACAAAAAGGCATCCTCCACCACAACCAACACCCAGATAAGCAGGGATTAACACCAAACAATCTTAACAAAAAATAATTTCCTAATCAAGGAGCTACCAAGAAGAAAAGCACACTTCCACTTTCCCCCTCTATATACTGGTAGGGCAAGCTACTATAGATAAACAGGAGTATGTACTAAGTAATACTAATATTTGGTAATACTAAAGATGTTACCTAGCCTGATAATGAAATGACTACGAGAAAACCACCAAGCTCAGAGAACACCAAGGACTGCACAGTTCAACCCTGAGCTACAAATATTCTATTGGAGCGGAAACTTCTATAAATCTGTTGGGCAAAATCTCAAAGAATCATGAGCAATTTGAAGAGTAAATTATTGTATCACAACTTCCATGTACTATTGTAGATAAACCTTTACCTTTTGTTACAGATAAATTAGAAGTAGAACAAATTGTACATGTTAAGTTTGAGTGTAGTATGCATTTATGCCTTCGTTCTTTTTACAATCTGCACGATCTTATTAGGAGATACTGGAAGATGCTTTGCTTATGAATTTTTCATCATTTACATACATGCATCTTGGGCTCTTATTCTCTTATTTAAAGGGAAAAAAAAGTATTCTTCCTTATGTCTTTGAATACAAGATCTTGCCAGCTATGTATCCTGCAATTTTCTTAGGTGAATAGTGAATTTCTGAATGGATACCTTTTCTAAATGGTAGAATGCTAATTGTCCCCTCCCCCCACCCAGCAAAATAGGTATAGAAGTAAAATTTTTTTTACTTCCGGTTCTGTGGGCATGGCTTATTTTGTGGGTGTGGCTTGGGGGGGGGGGGTAATGTGACTGGGTGGGTGTGGCCAACTTTTTTTTTTTTTACTTTTAAAAGCATTTTTTCTACAACCTTAAGAGCCTTGGTAGTACAGTGGTCTAAAGCACCCTGTTATTAAGACCAGCTACCTGCAATTACTGCAGGTTCGAATTTTGCCAGGCTCAAGGTTGACTCAGCCTTCCATCCTTTCTAAGGTAGGTAAATTGAGGACCCGGATTGTGGGGGCAATAAGCTGACTTTGTATAAATATACAAAAGAATGAAGGCTATTGTTTAGCGCATTGTGAGCGCATTGTAAGCCGCCCTGAGTCTCCGGAGAAGGGCAGCATATAAATCAAATTAAAAAAAAAAAGAGGTTGCAGAAAACAATGCTTTGAAAAGCTTCTGCCGATCAGGCAACTCAGCTGGGATCGTCAGAGGCTTTTCAAAGCATTTTTTAAACCACCTCTTCGGCTAAAGAAGTTGTAGAAAAAATGCTTTTAAAAGTAAAAAAAAAAAAAGCCTCTGATGAGGTGGGCAGGGTAAGCGACCGGGCCGGGGGCGTGGCCAGCCAATGTTATTACCGGTTCTCGCAACTATTACAAATTTTTACTACCGGTTCTTACGAACTGGTGTGAACCGGGAGCAACCCCCCACTGTTCCATACATAGCAGCTCAATGCTATGCCTGGGTGTTTAGAATACACACACAACACAGACACACACACACACACACACACACACATACACATCAGTCTCGAAAATGAACTTGCCAGTTGGAAATGCTTGAAACCTAGATGGAGTGTGTGTGTGTAGACGGGGACAGATCAAGGCCCTAATCTATTTTATGCATGTTGAAATGTTATATAGAGTACATTAATATTGTTGCAATATTTGACTAAGGTTGATAAAAACAAATACGGATAGTCCTCGATTTACGACCACAATCGAGCCCACAATTTCTGTTGCTAAGTGAGACAGTTGTTGAGTGAATTTTGCCCCATTTTACAACCTTTCTTGCCACAGTTGTTAAGTGAACCACTGCAGTTGCTAAGATAGTAACACGGTTGTTCCAGGAAGTGAATCTGGCTTCCCTATTGAGTTTGCGTGTCAGAAGGTCCCAAAAGAAGATCACATGAACAATGCAACTGTCCTAGATATGAACCAGCGTCCAAATTTTGATCAAATGACCATGGGGATGTTGCAACAGTTGTTAAGTGTGAAAAACAGTCATTAAATCACATTTTTCAGTGCTGCTGTAACTTCGAATAGTCACTAAATGAACTGTTGTAAATTGAGGACTACTGTAATTCATCACAAATCTTTATATAAAATAGGAATTTGATTATAATAGCCTTCTACTGCATTAAGTAAACCTATTTTTATTTCCCAATTCTAGGAGGTACAAAGTTTAATAGAAACTGACTTTGGACAAGATATCCTAGAATCGCAGGGCACTGAAGATAAAGTGACAAAAGATGATAGCTATTATAGACCAGACAAGTTAACCCAGCATGGAGAAGTCCACGAGCAGAAAACTGAAGGAAAACGAAAACAAGACCACTGGATACATCTTGAGGCAGGGAAGAAGGAACAAATGGCTGAAACAAAATTCAAAAGCCCTATGGAACACAAAAGACTTCAAGAATTTGAGGGAAGCCAAGGAGAACAAGTAGGGAAGAAACTGAAACTTCAGGAAGAACAACTTTACGAAATGGAGGAGAAAAAAGATCAAGATCATCAGGAAAAAGAGCTAAAAGAACGAGAAAGACAGGGAAGGAATGGAGAAGGGCCTGAAAAATTGCAGGCACAAATCCCAAAAAAATCTCAGGATCTTGAGGAACAAAAACAAACGGACCAAGAACAGGCACAACATGAACTAGAGGTACAAAGGCAGCAGGAACAGCGGAAACCCCGTGAAATGGACACGCAATGGCAGAAGGAGAAAAAGAAGAAGCAACAAGAATTAGAGGCACAAAGGCAGCAGGTAGAAGCAAAAAGACAGGGTGAACTGGCGGTCCAAAGACAGCAGCAGGAAGAACAAAAGAGACAATGTGAAATGGAACTACAAAGACAGCAGGAAGAAACAAAGAGACAACTTGAACTGGAGGTCCAAAGAGAGCACAAGAAAGAACAAAAAAGACAATACGAACTGGAGGTTCAAAGTCAACGTCAGGAAGAAGCAAGGAAACAACATGAACTGGAGATTGAAAGACAGCGGGAGATGGAACAAAAAAGACAACGTGAACTAGAACTACATAGACAGCAGAAGGAAGAACAAAAGAGACATGAACTAGAACTACAAAGACAGCGGGAGAAGAACAAAAGAGACATGAACTAGAACTACAAAGACAGCGGGAGGAAGAACAAAAGAGACATGAACTAGAACTACAAAGACAGCGGGAGGAAGAACAAAAGAGACAACGTGAACTAGAACTACAAAGACAGCAGGAGGTAGAACAAAAGAGACAACGTGAACTAGAACTACATAGACAGCGGGAGGAAGAACAAAAGAGACATGAACTAGAACTACAAAGACAGCGGGAGGAAGAACAAAAGAGACATGAACTAGAACTACAAAGACAGCGGGAGGAAGAACAAAAGAGACAACGTGAACTAGTACTACAAAGACAGCGGGAGGAAGAACAAAAGAGACAACGTGAACTAGAACTACAAAGAGAGCGGGAGGAAGAACAAAAGAGACATGAACTAGAACTACAAAGACAGCGGGAGGAAGAACAAAAGAGACATGAACTAGAACTACAAAGACAGCGGGAGGTAGAACAAAAGAGACAACGTGAACTAGAACTACAAAAACAGCGGGAGGAAGAACAAAAGAGACAACGTGAACTAGAACAACAGAAGACAGCGGGAGGAAGAACAAAAGAGACAGCGTGAACTAGAACTACAGAGACAACGGGAGGAAGAACAAAAGAGACAACGTGAATTAGAGATACAAAGACAGAGGGAGGAGGAAGCAAAGAGACAAGGTGAACTGGAGATCCAAAGACAACGGCAGGAAGAACAGAAGTGGCGTGGACAGGAGACACAAAGGCAACAGGAGGAAAAGAAGAAACAATATGAACAAGAAGAACAAAAGCATAAAGATTGTACGATACAGAAAGAGCAGAAAGTCAAAGATCCAAAAGAAGAAAAGAGACATCAAGAAACAGAACTTAATGACAATTTGATCCAGCAGGGATGGAAGGAGAAAAAGGAAGAACCAGAAAAGCAAAAGGCTCAGGAAGAAAAAATAAGCCATCCGTATTTGGAAAAGCAGAAGATGAAAGAACTTAAAACAGTTCAAACTGAAAAGCTGTCTGAACTGAACCAACAGCTACTTCCGGAGCAAAAAAGAGAAATAGGACAGAAAAAGAAAGAACAAGAAAACAGCAAAAACTTAGACGATAGAAACAAACTGCAAGAGAAGGCTATGAAACTGAAGGGACAAGAAGAGCAACAGCAAAATCTGAATGAAAAGCAATTTAGTACAAATGAACAAAAGCAGCAAAAATCTGCAAAATCGGTTGGATCAACAGAACATAGTAAAATAGCGCCAGCAGAAACAGGGCATTTGCGGGCTGAAGAGGAGGTGCAGCAGGAGGAGTTTACACAACGGACAGAGAGCGAACAATTGGAAAGACACAAAATCCTCTCTTTAGAAGATCAGCAGTCACTAGAAAAGCCAAAAGAAGAGAAGAAATCCCACCAGCTACACATGAAAAAACATCAAGAAGATGAACATTTGGAAACCGTTGAGAAAGAGCTACTATGTAAAGAAGAACCAAGGCAGCAACAGAGAACTCAGCCAGGCAAAGAGCAGAAGGAAGAAGGAAGTCTAAGAGTTCATCAGGCGATGAACGTTGAAGTTGAGGAGCAGGGAAGAGTTCTTGGTGAAGAATTACGTTGGCAGGAAGTTGACGCCCGGCAAACAATGTCCAGGGGCTTCACCTTTCAAGTGTCTTCTGGAGAAAAAGAAATTATATTTCCCAAAGTGAATTTAAGTCCAGTTACACCTATGAAAGAGGCTCCACTTCCTTCTGCCACAAAAGAATTTAAGGACCCTAACTCTAGTAGAGGGTCTAGTAGTCTTCCAACTTCTTCATGTGTTCCCCATACAGCAATCTTGGTCACTGGAGCACAACTTTGTGGCACTGCAGTAAACCTCAACCAGATAAAAGATACAGCCTGCAAATCTTTACTTGGTTTAACAGAAGAAAAGAAAGCGATGGAGGCAGCTCAGACCGAAAGCATCCAGAAACCTGTTGACGGCAGGCCGAACAGCACTAAAGCGAAACATATTCAAGATGCAGTGGACAACCAAGCCATCCTGGATGAATGGGCTTCAATTCGTTCAAAAATCTTAAAAGGGGCCGAAAACGATAAATTCAACGAGAAAGATAGTGGAAGTCATAATAGGCATAGTGATGATTGGACAGCAAAAGGTCAAAGTACTTCCCATGGTAACTTACGAAAGACTTTGTCCGCAAACGCAAAGTTTTCTATAACTCCCGCATGGCAGAAGTTCTCAGAAATATCCAAAACTGCTGCAGAGAATAAAATTGTTCCTGAAGCAGAAAATGCAGCAGTGCAGCCGAGTCCGTCCACTCTGCATTCAGACAATGAGGCAGTCCAAACAGAGTCCCCGGTTGGTACAAAGAACGTAGGAACGTCCCCTGGGAAAATCAGAGGGCGACAGGAAGTAGCAGGGAATACTGAAGGTTGTAAGTTTGCCAAAGATCTCCCATCTTTTCTCGTTCCAAGCCTCCCATATTCTCCAAATAAAGAACTCTCCCCATCCGTTGAAACTTCCTCAGCAGCGGAAACCCAACACAACATTGGTTCAAAAAAATTGGACCGACCTTCACCAGGTGGAGAAGAAAATGTCTCCCCATTTGGAGTGAAATTAAGGAGGACCAATTACTCCTTGCGTTTTCACTACGACCAGCAAGCCGAGCAGAAGAAGAAGAAAAGATACAGTGCAGGAGATAGCTTCGATGGTTTGCCAACTCCGCTTACCCCAGACAATGAACAAGATGCAAAACCTTTATTCTTAAAAGATAGCAAATCTCTGAGTCAAGACAAGAAAGATGCAAGGCTTAATTCTGATAATGCCACGTTAACTATTATTAGTCGCAATTACACCATAGTTGCACCTGTATCTTCTCCTACTGGTCCTATGTCTGCGCCTAGTCAAGAAAAATCTGCTTCTAAATCACCCCTGCCACCAAAACCTGCACTGGCTCCGAAGCCCATCAGCCAAACACCGCCGACATCTCCTCTCACAAAACCCCGTAGATCTCACTTCACCGAACCCATCGGGAAAAGGGTATCGAAAGTGGAACCTGACACCAGCTGGAGAAAAAGCGAAGGTAAAGGGAGTCCTCACCCCTCCCAAGAGCCCAGTGAAAGCAAGAATGAGGAGGAAGAATCTAGAGAGAAGAAATCGTTTTTTCCATCCATCACCATGCCCTGGAGAGAGAAAGCGGAAAAAAAGCCAGAACCATTGAAAAAAGGTAAGTAAAAGGCAACTCTTAAGTACAACTTCCTCCTGAAAAAGTTAACTTTGATTAGGAAGGTTCATGAGGAAGGTGGACAAAGTAACGTTAAATTAAAAATTAAGAAGACATTCATCCTCAGTCAATGGATTTGGTGCATGTCTGCTTTATTGTGCTTCTAGACCCGTGATGGTGAACCTATGGTACACGTGCCCAAAGTGGCATGAGAAGATCTTGCCTGTTTGTCTTCTGGGTTTCTGGTCTGCATGCGCGCGTGATGATCAGCTGTCTGTGTGTGCGGCAGTGCCAAAAACTGGTGTGTGCATGCGCGCCAGCCAGCTGATCGCCGGGTGCGCATGCATGCTAGAACCCAGAAGTTCGCCTTTTCCGGAGCGTGATCCCTTTGTGTACACGGCAGTGCCAAAAATCAGCCTGTGCATGGGAGCCGGCCAGCTGATCATCTGCAATTGACTGTAGTCTTTCTTGAATACTGAAAACACTGTGGTACTCACATCATTTAAAATAAAGACTGATGTTGCCCTTTCCAACCAGAATGGAACAATTCGCTGTGGCCAACTCACTGCTGCCATCTTGCCATGGCCATCTCTCCACAGCCATCTTGTGCATCCAGGACAACTAGCGGTGGCCAACTTGCTGTGTGACAAATCTACACGGGATAACTCCATGGGATAAATATTATCTGCCACTGTTTCTTTGTCATTATTTCCATTGACAAAAATTGGAATAATGTAGAAGAAACAGTGCTGGATAATATTTATTGCGTTATCTCACGTGGATCTCATGGCATGTTGTCCCATGGTGAGTTGGCCGTGGCGAGATAGCTGCGGTGAGTTGGCCATGGCGAGTTGTCCTAAATCCCTTTTCAATAGGCATGTATCAAAAGATTGTAGGCAATTTGAGACCACTGTCATGTCTGTCAAACAACTCTTAGCGATCAGGAGAATTCACAAACAAAAATATCGATCAAACATGAACAAACTGGGTGCCTCTGAAAAATGGAGATTCCATAAAATCCATCTGTACCAGGGGTGGGATTCAGCCGGTTCGGACCAGTTTGAGTGAACCGGATATTAATTTTAATCTGGTTTGGCGAACCAATTGTTGCAAGGACTAGCTGACCCCGCCCATCCCGCCCCTCCCCTCCCAGGAATTTCCATGTAGCCGTTTTGGATGCCAGGTAAGTGCCGGACCTGCGTGGAGTCTCTCTGGGAGGGTGAAAAACAGGCCTACCGGAAGTTCTGGACGTCCGGAAACGGGCCTGTTTCTGGCCTCCAGAGGGCCTCTGGAGCCCGGGGGAGACTGTTTTCATCCTCCTAGAGGCTCGAGGAAAGCCTCCAGAGTCTGAGGAGGGTGAAAAGGCCTCCCCCCATGGTGCAGGAGGCCCAGTAGGCCACACCCACCATGGCCACACCCATCCAGCAACCGGGCAGAGACCTGGATGCTAAAATTTCTGAATCCCACCCCTGATCTGTACTCATCTGTGACATCATAGACTTTTATTTAGTCCTGAAAAAGAAAATCCCTAACAAAAGTGCCAAAAGTTACTTAAAATAAGCCATGATTTTTTCGGAAGTATCAAATCGTTTTTATATGGTACTTACGCAGAGCTGCTACACATGGCAAAACTTTCCCTTAACCTATCTGTCTTTATCCCTTTGTTTATATACAACAGCTTGTTCTTCTGAGAAAAGTCCTTGCTAGTGGAACTCTTATGATATTACATTGTATTGCTTCTTCCTGCCTAAGAGTGTAAGACTTTTCTGCAGCTATTCTGCAATTAGAAGTCTATATTCCATGTTCTATGTGCCACCTACAAGCTTAAAAATTTGCTTGGATAACCCAAAATAGCATATCAAATGTATCCCAAATTAAACACCCACACTTTCTAGAAATAGATAGAAGTGTTGGTACTCACAGATGCTTACAGTTAAAACCAGTTCTGACATTTTTAGGGCAGCCAACATTGGAACTGAGGGATGCAAAGCTTGTTAATAAAGCTTTGAGAAAGTTGGCAACATGGAAGTATTTTCCAGATGTTTTCCAGAGGCGTATTAAGCTCCCACCAAAAATATGGGATTTTGAAGTGCTCTATCGGTGCTCCACCTAACAAATATTTGCATCTGAGGAAGAAACATTGTGCTATAAGAGATTATCTCTTTTCTGCCTTTTTAAAAAAGAAAAATGCATCATTTCATGGCCCGAGAGAAAGATAATGAATGTTAGAACTTAGCAGGAAAGGAAATGTTTCATGAAAACACAAGGCATGTTATGGGAGCAAATGTGTCTAGCAGATTTGTTTTATAGACTTAGAACAATATGCTACAATGATATAAGCCTATGCAGACTTTGAAAACAGACCATTTTAAAATTGTCTAACCCAGGGGTTTCAAACTCAAGGCCCGCAAACCAGATCTGACCCACGGGGTGCTTAGATCTGGCCCGCAGGACTGCCCTGGAAACACTGAAGGAGCGGCCCACGGTGCCTCGGCCGGCCCTCCCGAGTTCCGTTTTTGGCTGCAACGGCCTCCTGCAGCCTTTGGCAAGCGAAAACCCGTGCGGCTCTCCCGGGCTCCGTTTTCGCTGGCCGAAGGCTGCGGGACGTCGAGGTGGCCATGCTCACCCCAGCCACGCCCACTCGGACCCCGAGGTCAAACATAACCCTGATGCGGCCCTCAATGAAATCGAGTTTGACACCCCTGGTCTAAACCATAGATCAATTTTTTTAAAAAAAACAAAAAACCCTGAGAAAAGGGCACACTTTAAAAATATAAAAACATATTGATTGTACGTATGCAGAATGAAATAAATTAGGCACATAGAGCATCCAAGGCCATCCAAAATGTCTGAAAATATACATGTGTAGTGGCTTATTTGAGATGGGTTTGTAAGAGCATCTAGGACAGTGATGGCTAACCTTTTTGCCATCGCGTGCCAGGAGAGGAGGGGGGCGGGGGAGGGTTGCGCGCGCACGTGCCCACGCGCATCTGTGCACAACACCCTCCCCCCCCACTCCTGGCACATAATGGCCTGGTAGGCCCATTTTTCTTTCTTACCTGGTTCCAGATCCTCTCTGTGTATCTGGGAACGGCGAAAACAGCCTTTCCCACTCCCTTGGAGGCCGTACGGAGGCTGAAAGGGCCATTTCCCAATTCCCGGTGGGACAGGAAGTGACATTTTTTGCTGTCCCCAGCCTCCAGAATCTCTCTAGGAGTCTGTAGGAGCCTCTCTAGGAGTCTGTAGGAGCCTCTCTAGGAGTCACTGGAGGCTGGGGACAGGAAAAAACGTCACTTCCTGTCCCACCGGGAGTGGGGAAATGGGCCCTTTCAGCCTCCGTACGGCCTCCAAGGGAGTGGGAAAGGCTGTTTTCGCCATTCCCAGATACACAGAGAGGATCTGGAGCCAGGTAAGAAAGAAAAACGGGCCTTCCCCCCCCACAGGCCCTCCAGAGGCAGGAAACAGCCTGTTTCCCTACTTCTGGTGGGCCCAGAAGGCCCGAAAATCAGCTGGCCGGCACGCGCATGCGCCCCAGAGCTGAGCTGGCGTGCCCACTAATATGGCTCTGCGTGCCACCTGTGGCACGCGTGCCATAGGTTCGCCATCACGGATCTAGGAGAAGTTTCAAGCAAGAGGTTGCCCACCAGAGACATAAGGTCTCGAGTGTCCTCCTTTGGACCGCTTCCATTTCTATCAACACCGACATCCTAACCATGGACTATTCTTGGGCTCTGTTCCGTCTTCCAGAAAGGCCAGTTCTTCAGAGCAGGCATTCCATCGATGGTTCGAAAGTGATGGAGAAAGGGGAAACCGCCCAACCTCTCTGGATCACTTTGGCGTTGCAAAAACAGAAGGGCTTTCGGGAGCAGCAAGCAACCCGCGAGGAAAGGAGGCAAGCCAGAGAAGCCAAGCAGGCTGAGAAATTGGCGAAAGAAAATGTAAGCATCTCAACACAGAGAAAAACGGGGTGGGAGTGGGGAAGAGTATATTATTTCGGGCATCTGGTATCTTCTGCAGGGGCAATGCAACTGGTCAGGATAAACAAAAGCACTGTTAACTTTTCATTATAATACATCAGAGCAGGGGTGAAATGAGCCTTGGTAGTACAGTGGTCTAAAGCACCCTGTTATTAAGACCAGCTGCCTGCAATTACTGCAGGTTCGAATCTCGCCAGGCTCAAGGTTGACTCAGCCTTCCATCCTTTCTAAGGTAGGTAAATTGAGGACCCAGTTGTGGTGGCAATAAGCTGACTTTGTATAAATATACAAAAGAATGAAGGCTATTGCTTAACGCATTGTAAGCAGCCCTGAGTCTCCGGAGAAGGGCGGCATATAAATCAAATTTAAAAAAAAAAAAAATTATTTGGAGTGCTTAGATTCTTGTCCCTTATCGGTGCATGCACAAGCAAATGCATAGAGGGTAAAAAACACATTACTTCCTGGTTAAAACCAGGAAGTAATTTTAACCGGGCGGGTGGGCGGAGCCATCGCTACCGGTTCTCCAAACCACCCGCCACGATCACTACCGGATCAGCCGAACTGGTCTGAACCGGGAGCATTTCACCCCCTGCATCAGAGATGGGCAAATATGGTCATTTTATGACTTGTGGACTTCAGCTCCCAGAATTCCTGTGCCAGCTACCCTATGCTGGCTCAGGAATTCTGGGAATTGAAGTCCGCAGGTCAATAAAAGGGCCATAATTGCCCACCCGGTAATAAATGATTAAACTCAAGTAAAGCTCTGAGTCTAGAAACAGAAAAGGCCAACATTACTACTTTGGGAGGATGATGGCTTAACGAGAAGGAGGCGACCCTCTTCATCTCACATCTACCTCTTTAAAATTCGTTTTATCAAATGCACCTGCTGCCACAGCTTCTCTGGGCTCATTGCAGCTTACAATGCAAATGGAAAGAGTTTCCACCATATAACAAAAAACAAAGGAAGAACATAACAAAAATAAAACACATTCCTTATCCTATGAAAGATAGAAAATCAAAGTCAAAAGCGTTGCATTGTACTTCAAAGCCTATTTACTTGGGAAACGGCCTTGGGTGAGATATTCTGAAGCTGCTGGGGAAATGAAAGCCTCCGAAGCAGGCCTTGAACTCCGGGAAAGGAGAAAGCACGAGGAAGATACTCAGACTGGCTCTCTTTGATTCTCTGGGGCAATAAGAGGGAGAGAGAAGGGGGAAAAAACACACAAGTTTCTGTTATTGTCTATTTTCTCATCTGGATAACCTCATGAAGCTGACAAACACTGCAAAATCTGCCAGATAGATGCAATTTACTTCTAGCCATTAATGTGAGTTACCAAGCAAATTGCATATGGGACCAAATACAGTTTTTTTCCTGTGGTCTTCAAAGGCATAATTATTATTAATAATAATTTATCCAATTGATTATGGCCATTCTCTCCAGACATTGGCCTTATTAAATGAATATATTGATAAAGATGTTCCATGGGAAGAACAAGATGTCCATACACACACATAAATGCATGTAAACATTCTCTGTATTTTCCGGCCATAAATAAATATGTACAACTGGACTGTTTTGTTTCTCTGTGTCATATAATACATGTTGGCATATACATAATTTTGCATTTATTTATTTATCTTGCATTGTTTATGTAATGTAAAGTTGGAGGTGGTGACCCTTTAAGAGCTGTATGCAACAAAATTTCATTTTTAATGTATGCCAAATTAGTGTACATTCAAAATGACCATAAAGTCCTCTTCTCTTCTCTTCTCTTCTCTTCTCTTCTCTTCTTTTCTTTTCTTTTCTTTTCTTTTCTTTTCTTTTCTTTTCTTTTCTTTTCTTCTTTTCTTTTCTTTTCTTTTCTCTTCTCTTCTCTTCTCTTCTCTTCTCTTCTCTTCTCTTCTCTTCTCTTCTCTTCTCTTCTCTTCTCTTCTCTTCTCCTCTTCCCTTCCCTTCCCTTCCCTTCCCTTCCCTTCACTTCCCTTCCCTTCCCTTCCCTTCCCTTCCCTTCCCTTCACTTCACTTCACTTCTCTTCTTCTATTTTCTTCTGTTCTATTCTGTTCTGCTCTATTCTGTTTTCTTCTATATTCTTCTGTTCTCTTCTCTTCTGTTTTCTTCTGTTTTCTTCTGTTCTATTCTGTTTTCTTCTATTTTCTTCTGTTCTGTTCTGTTCTGTTCTATTTTATTCTATTTTATTCTGTTCTATTTTCTTTTCTTTTCTTTTCTTCTCTTCTATTTTATTCTATTTTCTGTTCTGTTCTATTCTCTTCTATTTTATTCTATTTTCTTCTGTTCTATTTTCTTCCTTCTCTTCTCTTCTCTTCTCTTCTCTTCTCTTCTCTTCTCTTCTCTTTTCTTCTGTTCTGTTCTGTTCTATTGTATTCTGTTTTCTTCTCTTCTTATTTTAAACGTGTGCCATGTGAGTTATAGCACCTGGAAGGTTGCAGGCATTTACAAATGCTTTCTAACTAGTCCTTTGCCCATACTTTGTACTTTTGAGTCAACCTGTATGAGTATGCATATATTTAGCATATAAATGTTTATACTGTTACTTTTTATATTAGGCCAGCGTGAACAACCAGGCAGATAATAAAAGCAATAATGTGAGCAGGTCAAACATACTGCAAAAGTCCACTGGCCCAGAAGAGGAGAAAAAAATGGAGACAGCTACATCAAGATTTGAACGCAGAGAACAGTTCAAAAAATCGAATACCTTGCCTTCGTCCGTCACAGGTACGATTTACATTTTGTGTCGCGATTGTAGTTCCAATTTTATTTCTGAGACGGTTGAGCATGTAAGACCTTGTTGGTTCACCTTGCCTTGACTACAGGTAGTCCTCGACTTACGACCACAGTCGAGCCCAAAATTTATGTTGCTAAGTGAGAAATTTGTTAAGTGAGTCTTGCCCCCATTTTATGACTTTTCCTGAGGTTTATTATTAACTGAATCACCACAGTTGTTAAATTAGTAACACGGTTGTTAAGCGAATCTTTGCTTGTCAGAAGGTCGCAAAAGGCGATCACGTGACCCTGCAACGGTCGTAAATATGAATCAGTTGCCAAGCATCCCAATTCTGGTCATATGACCATCAGCATGCTGCAACGGTCATAAGTGTGAAAAACCGTCGTAAGTCACTTTTTTCACTTTCCCAAAGGTGCTTTCTTTCAAACGGCAGCTAGTCTTGTTGTTCTGACTTAGGCTTCCTGAGAAAGCATAAATCACAATTTTAGTCCCCCAAAAAAACCTCTTTTATTGAGACGGCTGTGGATTATGGTCATTCACAGCCCGTAATGAATCACAAACAGTCTGTGAAGATTCCGACAGATGTCTGCTCGAGTTGACACAGTCTTTCAGGGTAATGTTGATAAGCACCCTTGAAACGCTGCCAGAGACCTAACTGTCAATTAGTTTTGCAAGGCCAAACGGAGCAATGAGTCAAATGGACTTCTCAGAGCTTGAATTGACTATATGAACTAATTGCTTCCTGAAAAGGCTCACGTCCGTTTGCTCCATTTATTTATTTATTTATTTATTTATTTATTTATTTATTTATTTATTTATTTATTTATTTATTTATTTTGTATACCGCCCTTCTCCGAGAAGGGACTCAGGGCGGTGAACAGCCAAAATTAAAAATACATGCAATACAAAAGTTAAGATAATTAAAAAGAATTAAATCATTGGCTTCCCACTTTAAAACCCCCAAGTCTATAAAATTTAAAATCCCAATTAAGAACCATTTAGGCTAGGCCGGCTTGGTGGAATAAATAAGTCTTCAGGGCCTTACGGAAAGTACGGAGGTCCGGGATCAGTCATATTCCAGGAGGCAGCTTGTTCCACAGGGCGGGTGCCCCCACAGAGAAGGCTCTCCCCCTGGGGGCCGCCGGCCGACATTGCCTGACCGACGGCACCCTGAGGAGGCCCTCTCTGTGAGAGCGTATTGGCCGGTGGGAGGTTATTGGTAGCAGCAGGCGGTCTCGCAAATATCCTGGCCCTAAGCCATTTTATGTCTTATGGGAGGGGCCAATCAACTCCAAGCCTTACTCCCGAGTCACCCTTTTTTTCCTTAATTGTTCTTGCCTTCTGGCAGCTCTGTGCATGCGCACACAAGGAACAGGCTCAAACTGTTCTTCTTCCTCGCTGATGTCAGATTCCGGAGGCTCCGGAAGCAGTACATAACTCCCAGATGGTCTTGGCTCCCTTTCTGCCTTCGACGCAGAGCCCTCGTCCGAGCCTTCCCCAGACTCCAGGACTGGCCCATGTTCCTCCCCAACCTCGTCACTGTCCAACTCTGCTGCCAGTTCTGCAGGCCGCCGGCGGACCGCAACACTTGTTTTGCTTGAAGACGGTTCGCTTCTCGTTCAAGAAGCATCCTCAGTTCTGACTGAATGGTGGAGAATGGAAGGATTTATGTTCTTTGCAATCCTCTGGTCGTTAGCACTCCTTCTGAGAGTCGCTGAGACCACTTGGAGATTTGTCTGCGCCATCAGGGTCACCTGAATCCTGTCGTCTGCAAATTTTTCTAGAAATCCATTCATACTCCCATCCCGTTCGAAGGATGTTCAGCCTAAAATGCACAGCTAAATGTCTATGGAAATTCTCAAATCATCCAGGTTAGATGGAAGCAAATCCAAATTTGCTTTTCTCAATTGATAAGTATACCCTGGATACGGATGTGGCAGATGGTTAAGGCGTTAAGCGATTATAAGCGACGATGGTAGGCAAATGACGTGGTGATATAATAAATAGGTTGTTCCATGAAGCTTATTGAAGAAATCGTCTCTAGATTATTCCGTTTCCTAATTATGGCTTCTTTTATATAGTTCTTAAATGCTGCCATTCAGGCATAAAAGCTGATTCGTTGATTAAAAAACAAGCAATAGCTTTGGATGATAAAGGCAAGAGGGAGTGAACGAATTTTATTTCATGGAAAGGCAGCACACAATAGGGAGGCCTCCACAAAATTGTATGCACTTCATATAATTTATTGTTACTCTGCTAGTAACATAAAATAACATTAAATGATGGAGCTCGTTCACATAAAAAGAGCCATAACCATCAGAATAAGTTATTGTTGTGGAGGATATAAATTAAGCACCATAATCTATTCTTATTCTATAAACGTTCAGGCTGGCTTCTCTTTTGAAAGGCAATCTTCCAAATATCAAATTCAAAAATACTTTGGATTGCATCCAGAGAGACACACTATCTGACCAATTAAAATCCTCTACATACAACTTAGTACTTTGTCTAAAATAGCATCACTGATTTCATTTTCTTCTCTCCAAACCAGATGAATAGAATAGAGGTTGTCCTCAACTTATGGCCACGAGTGAGCCCAACATTTCTGTCGCTAAATGAGATATTTGTTAAGTGAGTTTTGTGAGACAGTTGTTAAGTGAATCACTGGAGTTGTTAAATTAGTACTATGGTTGTTAAATGAATCTGGCTTCCCTTTTGACTTTGCTTGTCAAAAGGTTGCAAAAGGTTTCACATGACCCCGGGATACAGCATAAATATGAGTTAGTTGCCAAGGGTCTGAATTTTGATCACATGACCATCGGGATGCTGCAATCGTAAGTGTGAAAAGTGGTCATAGTCACTTTTTTCAGCGCCATTGTAAACGAACTGTTGTAAGTCAAGAACTACCCGTAAAGGAAAGAGGAATTCTGTATTCTGTACAATCATGAATCAATCCGCATCTGGAGTAGAGGTGAAATGCTACCGGTTCAGGCCGGTTCGCACGAACCGGTAGTAAAAAAAAGTAAAAAAAAAAAGTTCTGAAGATCAGCTGAGCGATGCACAATCGTCGGAACTTTTTAAAACTTTTTAAAGCATTTTAAACTAAACTATTAAAAAAATGCTTAAAAAGTAAAAAAAAAAAAGTTCAGACGATCGACCGTTGCTCAGCTGATCTTCAGAACTTTTTAAAAAACTTTTTTAAAGCATTTTATACTACCGGTTAACCGGTAGTTAAAAATGCTTTAAAAAAGTTTTTAAAAAAAGGTTCCAATAATCGTACGCCACAGCTGTGATCGTTGGAACTTTTTTTTTTAACCTTTTACCTTTTTACCTTTTAAATGCTTTAAAAAAGTTTAGAAAAAGATTCCAAAGCTCGCGTGCCACAGCTGATTCCCCCCCCTCGCTGTTCTACTTACCTTCCCAAGCCTCCTTTTGGTGTGTACTGTGCATGCAAACATGTGCAGGGTGCATTTGGCGTGCACGGTACATACACAGCCAGCGAACCGGTAGTAAACCGGTTCGGATTTCACCACTGACCCAGAGTCTTTGATTTTGGCAAGAATTCAATGAATAGATTTAGTGTCTGCTCCCATTAAGGTGGGAATAATCTTAAATGCAATTTTGCCTAGGTTTCTATGGGTAGAGGAAAAGGGGAAGTAATGTAACGTGAGCCTAGTATCAATCCTATTGTTCACTCATATCAGGGGTGAAATCCAGCAGGTTCTGACAGGTTCTGGAGAACCAGTAGCGGAAATTTTGAGTAGTTCGGAGAACCGGCAAATACCACCTCTGGCTGGCCCCAGGAGCGGGGAGGGAATGGAGATTTTGCAGTATCCTTTCCCTGCCACGCCCACTAAACCACACCACGCCCACCAAGCCACGCCCACAGAACCAGTAGTAAAAAAAATTGGATTTCACCACTGACTCATATCCACCATCATGGCCACAAGTACAAAAGAGGATTGACGTCATGATGTCACTGCATTCATTTTAATCGTTTTTTAAATCTGGATTTATCTGACTAACTCTATGGATGCTATGAAATTCACTCATTAAAACATAGCATTGAATTCTTCCTCTTCCTCCCCCCCCTTCCTTAAACTCTAAAAGGTAAAGATTCCCCTCGCACATATGTGCTAGTCGTTCTCGACTCTAGGGGGCAGTGTTCATCTCCGTTTCAAAGCCAAAGAGCCAGCGCTGTCCAAAGACGTCTCCGTGGTCATGTGGCCGGCATGACTAAATGCCAAAGGTGCACGGAACGCTCTTACCTTCCCACCAAAGGTGGTCCCTGTTTTTCTACTTGCATTTTTTACGTGCTTTCAAACTGCTAGGTTGGCAGAAGCCTACAAGGAACAGAAGCTCATCCCATTATGCGGCACTAGGGATTCAAATTGCTGAACTGCCGACCTATCGTTCAGCAAGCTCAGCGTCTTAGCCACTGAGCCACCACGTCCCTAAACTCTACCTTCATTTGAAATGAATGGAGAAGAAATGAAAGCCAACCTCTTGATGGAAAATTGTCTGCTGTTTTGTCCAAGCTGTAAAAGACTCCATTATTAATAATGTTAGCCAGCAAATTAAAAAAAAAGATCTATTAGCATCCTGCCGTCTTATCAATCCTTGGTGAAATTATAAAAGAACAAGCTAATTTTCAGCTGTTGTGTTATCACATGCAAAAAAGAACATGTGAGAAACAAATTTTGATTGCTGTGCAGGTAAGTATTTTAATATGTGTTCGGTTTACCAGTTGCTTTAAGAAACAGATGTGCCATACCCTAAAACCAAGAATGTGTTAAAAGATAGGCAGATTTTGCAGCTTCGAAAGTCTGCCCATCTCTGATGCATTCTCGGTTTCTGGGGTATTTGCTGGCTAGCCAACAAACATATTTTTGGCAGAAATTATTTGGGGTTGTGACTATGGTGCAGGCTAAAGGCCAAAAATTAGACTATGTGAAAAAAGGTTATCGGATGTTGCAGATATCTAAAGAAATGATATGTTCAGTTCAGGAGATTTCGGTATATAATAAAACTTGCCGGGTACTAAAATTCTAAGTATAATTATGAAGGTTGGAAAGACATTGTCAAAAGAATACCTGGAGTTTATGACATCAATTTAACATTGATTTCAAATAAGATGCATTCTCGGTTTCTGGGGTATTTGCTGGCTATCTAACAAACATATTTTTCTTTCTCTGCCAAGTAATATGTGGCCTTTAAATAGTAAAGTCCATGTTTAGGCTACTGTGTGGAAGCCTATCTTCCCCCGAACAAACACACACATACACACACGGAAGCAAGGAAGATAAAAAAACCAATACTTAAAAAAAAAACCTGCAAAAATGCTACTTAATTTAGGTTGCTTCTGCCTTTTGGTTCTAATAATTTCTTAGCGTGGGAAGGAGAGCTGCCCTTCAGATAACTTTTATTATTCTGCAGAGCACCTACGCCTCTGTCTACTTGGTGATGCAAAACTGGAACCACAAGAGTTGCTCCCGAAAAATACTTTGTTCTTGTTTTACACCTCCTCATCTCCCAGGGGAGACTCTTGTGATCTTTATTCTCGGCTTCTTTGCTTCTCTTAACAAAATGCCCAGGGCTCTGCTCACGGGGAAGACAGGCGGTAACCTAAGAGATTTCTGCAACGGTGCGGTTAACAGATTCCCTTTTCCTCATTCTCTCTCACAGTGGAGATCACCGATTCCCTTTCGTCGTCGCCTTTGGCTAAAGAAGTCACCAAGAGATTCTCTACGCCGGATGCTAACCCCGTCTCAACCGAACCTGCTTGGTTAGCCTTAGCCAAGAGAAAAGCAAAAGCTTGGAGCGACTGTCCTCAGATCATCAAGTAAATAGAAAATTTTTGTGTTTTACTCTGGTTGGAGAGCCATTTCCTTTTTTTTATTCATATTCTCACATGGCAAATGCTCCTGAAAACACATTTAAGGGCGAACTCCGACCGATGAGAGACATTGAACTGTGGATCATGAGAGGAATGTTCAAGCAGTTATTTTGAGTTTCAGGCCATTTTAAGAATCACTGCTTCAGTGTTGTTGAATGTCAGCTTCCCGTAAACCTATTATTTTACTTGGACATTTTTACAAATGCCACTCAGGTACAGGAATATGAAAGATCTCTGCTTTTGCCATAGTTACGAGATAACTTTGAATTAATTTGCCTCTGATCTGGCAAAAAATGACTCCAGAAATAATGAAATGTAATTTGGGGAATAATGAAAGCACCATTTTTTAAAAAAAATTCTAAAGAGTTTTTCCTGAGGTTTTTAGTTTTGAACTTTAGTCACACTTCTCAAGTGTATTTAATGATTCACTAATTAACACACTCAAGTTATGTTACATCAAAGATGTATTTCTTGTATTTCTCTAAATGATTCTTTGAGCCATCAACAGCCTGCGTGCAAACTGCATTGTTACATTTTCATTTCCCTCATATCCAGAAATATATTCATGCAACATTAATGTTTTAATTTATTGACTTACATCCTCATCTCTGCAGAAACTCAAGATATCTTGCTCTCCTCCATTTTATCCTCACACTCCTGTACAATAAGAACACACTGAATAAGCAACTCAATTGTATTTGGAGAGAACTGTGTCATGATTTTCAGTCTTATCATAAAAGGTAGAACAGAAAACAGAAGAACAAAATAAAAACGTATGTCTAGCACTAACAACAAAAAGGGGGGAAAATTGGTGTATAAACGAAGAGAAAAAAATACAGTTTAAAAAGAGGATTTCCAGTCCTAAATCTATTGCTCGTGTCATGCAAGAAATAATGATATACAATACCTTTAAGTGACCGAAAGCAGATTTATCCCCAGATATACCTGCAAGGTGTGGTTTAAAAAAATGTCCAGATGGCGGCTATAATTGTTACCCATAAACAATGGGTGGAGCTTCAGTGATATCATCTTGGCTTTTTCACCATACTATTCATATTATCTAAAGGAGGCTCGTCCAACCTTTTTCCGTTGGTTATCTTTTAGATGTGTTGAGTTTCAACATCTGGAGGACAGCAGATAAATAGGGTGGAAAATCCAGCCCCTTTACCCTTCATTCCAGTAAGCTGTATTTTAGGGTCATCATTCCCTAAACTTCATGAGCAGTTTTCGCTTCAACATCTGTGCCGTGCTACTGCCTATTACCTTTGCAAACTATGAGCAGAGTGTTCCTGTTAATGACATTAAGTGAAAGTGTAGCTATTGTGTTAATACATATTACTTTTTGTCCTGGAATTAGATCTGATTCAAGATTATGGAATTGGTTTAACGAGGGAAACTGAATTGGGACTGCCAAATTCCAGCCAGCTGGACAGCAACAAAGATAAAGAATCCTCCTAAATCTTTGCTATTTTATAAGACTTGCAGCTGAGCTACGAAAGCCTTTGATTTGAAAAGCTAATCGTAAGGAAAATGTGATCTCTTTGCCCCTGAGTATTGCTGCCCTTTAAAACGGGTATTCCTAAATTATCAGTCAGTTATATTTTCTAGTTAGACATGTAAATATGCAAAAAATAGTGTTGTATTGTACTAGACATCAGATTGTTGGGTAAAAAAAAATGGTTGAAACAAAGTTTGAATTCAGAATTTCTATTTCTCTTAATTGTAACATCAGTTTGGAATGAAAACACTTTTAAGACAGAGAAGCGCAGTCTATGAAAATCACAGTCTCATTCGAAAATCCCACCTCAAAACAACAACAAAAACCAACCCCCACACTATGCATCTGGAATCAGGAAAAATACTAATTCATGGAACAGTGTAAACATTACAATTTTGGTCCAAGACAACCAAACCAATGCAGTTACTGAATAGGCATCAAAGCACAGGAGAAAACATTTGTTGTGTTTATGGAGAAGCACAAAGATGCTAAGTTTGATAGCTGAGTAACTGTCCTAAAGAAAGTTATTCTTGTAGCCATTGTCACTTTGGTCTTTTAAATGAATTCAGGACCTACACCTTCTTCAAGACTCATCTTAAACGAGATCAGGAAAGCCTGTTAGAAATACAACTTAAAGGATGAAGTTAGGATCTCCTAGTACCGCGATGGCGAACCTATGGCACGGGTACCACAGGTATCACGCAGAGCCATATCTGTGGGCACACGAGCGTTGCCCTACTCAGCTCCGGCCAGCTAATTTTCGGGCCTTCCGGGCCCACCTGAAGTCGGGAAATGGGCTGTTTCCGGCCTCTGGAGGGCCTCCCGGGTAGGGGACGGAAGGCCGTTTTCGCCCTTCCCAGGCTCCAAGAAAGCCTCTGGAGTCTGGGAAGGGCAGAAAACAGGGCTACCGGGCCCACCATGCCATCACATGCCAAAAGTGGGGGTAGCGCGGGGGGGTCATGCATGCATGTGCGGGGGATAGGGCGCATTGAATTATGGGTATGGGCACACGCATGCGCGACCCCCCTGCAGGATCCCCACTTTTGGCACGCGACAGCAAAAAGGTTAGCCCTCACTGTCCTAGTAACTCAGTATATAGAGCCAAGGTGGGGGTTTGAAGAATGAAAAATGACCTTTTTTCCAGAGGTGGGATTCAGCCGGTTCGGATTGTGGGTGGGCACGCCCGCCCACCGGGCCGCAATCCTGTCCTACACCGCACGCACGCGGGAACAATGCGTGCAAGCGAATTGCCATATTGTTTGATGTTGCACACATGCGTGGACGGCACGCACTCACATTTCCAGTGCTGGGCGAATCCAGTTGCTACAGTATATGAATCCCACCTCTTCTTTTTTGCCATTCTCATAAAATGTGAAGATTTCATCCAGTGTAACGGTGAGTTAATCCTTACTCACCCTTACAGCAGTTAAACGATCTTCAGGGACAGTAAATGACCTGAATCATCAGTTCAAAAACAGTTTGCCTTTCTTCTGGATGTCAGGCTTTTGCTCACCCACAATTTACTGCTTTCATTATCGTAGATAATGCAATGTTTAATTAGCTGACCCCCCCAGGAACAGCTTCTACTGAATATGTTACAAGCAACGTATAGTTAGTAGAAATGGATGCAAATTTAGAAAAGTTCTGTTGTGACTAAGATTCACACAATTCCCTACCCCGACGGTGGCCTATAATATATTTACAAGCATTTTAATGTGCATATACTTCTGTCAACATGCTGTTGCAAAAAAAAATAAAAAAATAAAATAAAATATGTGTACAACTCTCAAATTTCCTCCAACTCAATGAGACTTCTAGATTGGGAGAACAGAGTTGGAGAAAAAAAGAGGACCGGGGAGGGGGAAAAAATATTGGTGAGGTGGACAGGGCAAAACGGAAAAAAAAGAAAGTAATTTTGCGGGGAAAGTGGGTGTCATTTGCATGAGAAAATAAGGGAAACAGAAAATCCCAAAATAAATCTAGGGAGGGTTAATGCAGAACTTATAGTCTTGTAAATAGTTCGAAAGCAGTCTTTTCAAGCATGAGGATTCACCGTGGATTAAAACTATATTCAGTCCAGGAAAGCAGGACAAGAGTAAAGGGCCTTTCTCTGTTCTCCCAATTTTACTCTGGTCTTTCAGGATCAGCCACCATCCCAACCTATTTATTCTCAATACTTATAGCCCTAATCTTCAGCATTAAAAGACTCCTGGACAGCGATGGAGTATCTATTCCCTTTGCTCTACTTCACAGGTGATGCGAGACAACAGGTGAATTGCATTCTCTGCTCGTACAGAGACATTCCTGCAGGCCAAATGGTTGGCTCTCCATGCAAGAGTTTTGTATTAACGTTAATACAATTTCTGCATATAGTGATTGGATCAAAGCTGGGCTAACGTAAAATATTTTCTTTGTAAGCACTTCCAGAAGCCTGTTTTAAACATTGTCATTTCATATAAGGTCAACTTGAACTTTTGCACTAAATACCAATGAAGTGTTACTTTGCTTAAGCTTTGTTGAAGCCTTTCTTAATAAAACAATATAAGGATGGAATAACTTCCAACCCTTTAAAACTGATCAAACCACTTTGCACAATTGTGGTCTCAATTTTATTTTATTTTATTTTGGTAACATACACTTGGTCCTTACCCAGAGACAGTTAAATCATATCCAAGCCTTGTTGGCATTAATGGAATTTATATCAGCAGTGACTGAATTATCCTATACACTAACAGGTATTGGGGGCGTAACTTTTTCTAGATAAAGGCAAAATATCATTTGAGGTTATGAATGATTAGCCTCGGTTGTTCATAAAGTGGTGTATAAAATTACAAACATGTATAATTGTGGATTTCGTTTTGTGTACTTTTTTAATTTTTCAAATGTTTTAAAGTGCAATTGTTTCTTACACTAATATCATTTTAATTCCAATTAAACTATAATATGCTGAAAGTTGGTAGGTTTATTTATTCATTATCTTTTGCTAAATGTGTCTGGTTACCTTAAAACAAGAGCCTGAATTAATATATGACTATAACTGTTTTTAGAATATATTACAACCCAGGAGAAATTAACAATGACTAAAAGGGTTATGTTAGTAGAATTTCTATTTTCAGTTTTTGATCATCACAATTTTAATGTAAATGGTCCATCACTGAAAACTTGTTCTATATAAATAAAAATAGCTGTGTTTCTATAGAAAATATTTTTTATTTTTACTTACTGAGTCATTTCAAAAAATCATAAAGGTGTGAAAGACTTAAGTAAACTTTTAGTAAAGCCATTGTTGATAATTATTAATGGGAGGAAACACATTTATTGCAACTATACTTGGCATTTTATACATAAAAAGGGCCGAGGTGGTACAGTGGTTAGAGTGCAGTACTGCAGCTACTTCAGCTGACTGCTAGTTCAGCGGATCAAATCTCACCGGCTCAAGGTCGACTCAGCCTTCCATCCTTCCGAGGTGGGTAAAATGAGGACCCAGATTGTTGGGGGCAATATGCTATTTAGTATACTGTCTTTGGTGTAAGCCGCCCAGAGTCCTCGGAGAGTGGGCGGCATAGAAATATGACTAATAAAATAAATAAATAAAATTATTAAGGGCTGCTTAAAAATACAGTAAGAGAGTTGGAAGGGACCTTGGAGGTCATGTAGTCCAACCCCCTAATCACACAGGAGACCTATACTAGGGATTCGAACTGCTGACCTTTCTGATCGACAAGCTCAGTGTCTTAGCCACTGAGCCACCTAATCAGGCTGTCAGGTAGTCCTCAATTTACAAATTGTTTAGTGACTGTTTGGAGTTACAACAGCATGAAAAAAGTGACTTATGACCATTTTTACACTTACGACCATTGCAGCATCCCTAATGGCTACTTGATCAAAATCCAGACCTTTGGCAACTGATTCATATTTATGACGGCTGCTGTGTCCTGGGGTCATGTAAATACTTTTTTGTGACCTTTTGACAAACAAAGTCAACGGGGAAGCCAGATTCACTTAACAACCACGTTATTCACTTAACAACTGCAGTTAACAAGTGTGGCAAACAAGGTGGTAAAATAGGACAAAATTCACTTAACAGATGTCTCGCTTGTGACAGAAATTTTGGACTCCACTGTGATTGTTAAGTTGAGGACTAACTTTACGAGGAGAGGAGACAAAAGACTGAGCAATGCTTTTCCCTCAGGAGTTTTGCTGAAATGTCTTGAGACAAGAGAAAACTCTTTATTTTGAGATGAATAATCAATGCTTCAAGATCACACTAACCTGCAGGATGGCTGGCTTATTTTTGATTTAAAGTGGTAAATAAATAAGTCATAATTTTGGAAATCCTCTTTTGCGATATTTAGACATCACATTAAGACATACAGTGATTCGGTTAGAAACTATATTGCAAAAGGTTCCTATATACAATTATTCTTTATAAGATATTGCTCTTCCACACTGTATAACAGTATCATTGTATAACGATAATGATATAATTATACAGTATATTATAATATCCTTGTTATACCGTGTTTCCCCGAAAATAAGACCCTGTCTTATATTTTTTTGAACCCTGAAATAAGTGCTTGGCCTTATTGCCATGCGCTCAAAAACCCGATTGGGTTTCTTATCAGGGGATGTTTTATTTTGGGGGAAACAGGGTAGTAACCCTAAATAAGAAAGACAGCTATAAGAAAGAAAATCACAGTGTTGGTTAGAAATCTTCCATTTTATTTGAAATCAATGTTAAATTGATGTCATAAACTCCAGGTATTCTTTTGACAATGTCTTTCCAACCTTCATAATTATACTTAGAATTTTAGTACCTGGCAAGTTTTATTATATACCGAACTCTCAACTGAACATATAATTTCTTTAGATATCTGCAACATCCAATAACCTTTTTCCACATAGCCTAATTTTTGGCCTTTAACCTGCACTGTAGTCACAACGCCAAATAATTTCTGCCAAAATATGTTATAATTTTTTAAAAAATTTAATTTTAAATTTGTAAATAAGTAAATATTCATCAGTTTGGTTTCTAGAAGTATCATATTCCATTTTGGATATAATACTCAATACAGAGCACTAACTCCCAGATTTATAGCGGTCTTGACATGGTACTTTTTGTTGTTGTTAGTTGCGAAGTTGTGTGTGACCCCTCGCGACCCCATGGACGACGTTCCTCCAGGCCTTCCTGTCCTCTATCATCCTCTGGAGTCCATTTAATCTCATGCCGACTGCTTCAGTGACTCCATCCAGCCACCTCGTTCTCTGCCGTCCCATTCTTCTTTTGCCCTCAATCTTTCCCAGCATTAGGCTCTTCTCCAGTGAGACCTTCCTTCTCATTAGGTGGCCAAAGTATTTGAGTTTCATCTTTAGGATCTGGCCTTTTAAAGAGCAGTCAGGGTTGATCTCCTCTAGGACTGACGGTTTGATCGCCTTACAGTCCAAGGGACTCGCAGGAGTCTTCTCCAGCACCAGAGTTCAAAGGCCTCAATTCTTTAGCGCTCAGCCTTCCTTACCGTCCAACTTTCCCAGCCATACATTGCAACTGGGAAAACCATAGCCCTGACTATACGCGCTTTTGTTGGCAGGGTGATGTCTCTGCTTTTAAAATGCTTTAAATCAAGTGTAAAATTAGCTTTCCTCCCCTACATATTGAACCAGAAAGTTCACACCAAGGAAAATATTTAGCTCTCAAGTAAAAAAATTAAAAACTCTACAAACCTCATCATTACAGAATTTTATTAGCTTTAGATAAACATAGATCTAAACAATAAAGGTAGTTGTTTCTACACCCTACAACAATTGTCGATCCCCAGGCTATAGGCGAAGAGAAGACCTCTCCTGGAAGTTGTCCTCGACCTTCGGCCACCCCAGTCTTAGCATTCAGGATCCATATTCTACCATCTGTGGAAGTCGCCACCAGAAATGTTCTACTGTCCAATTTAGGACTGCAGAAAACAAATGGAGTTGCATAAACTGTTGATGTAGTTTCAAACTTCCATAATACAATTCCTTCCCTGTTGCAGCAATAAATGAAGCGGTCATGGGACCCAAAGAATATATCTCTGGAAAAAGGTGAAACACAGGGTGATGAAAAGATTGGCCCACTGCTGGAAAATGTCCAAACCTGTAGGACAGTAATAAAATATTAAACCAGTTATTGTAATTTCAGTTAGTGTGATAGAATCATTGTATACATTGTTATAAGTTTATGATGCATATATAAATGTTCAACTTTATAGCCATGTTTACAAAATATCTAAGAAAAGGGCTAATTCTTCCAATCAATTATATATCTCAATATATATAATATATAATATTATATATATTATATATTCAATATATAAGATACTCAGGCCAATGCATTCCATTTTTGTATATTTTTTGCTTATTGAGAGGGCCTGCTGAACATAAAGGTAAAGGTAAAGGTTCCCCTCGCACATATGTGCTAGTCGTTCTCGACTCTAGGGGGCGGTGCTCATCTCTGTTTCAAAGCTGAAGAGCCAGTGCTGTCTGAAGACGTTTCCGTGGTCATGTGGCCGGCATGACTAAACGCCAAAGGCGCACGGAATGCGGTTACCTTCCCACCAAAGCTAGTCCCTATTCTACTTGCATTTCTACATGCTTTCAAACTGCTACGTTGGCAGAAGCTGAGACAAGTAACGGGCGCTCACCTCATTACACGGCAGTAGGGATTCGAACCGTTGAACTGCCAACCTTTCGATCAGCAAGCTCAGTGACTTAGCCACTGAGCCACCGCGTCCTATATATATACTGTATCCTGAACATACAGTATAGCAAATTGTTTCGGTTAGAGTCAGAAATGATCCTATTGGGCATGCTGAACAAATCAGAACAAGGGTATATTTTAATGAGCCACAAGTAATTTAGTAGGAAGAGAATTTTACCATTGTACCCTGGAGAAAATACCAAGGTTATACCAGAATTGAAGATAGCTTTGTGATGATTTTTGACAATCATTTCTCTAGGATAGTTTTGGGCAATGCATACTTCTCCAACAGCATTTTATACAACATAGATCATTGTGCTGTAGGACAATCTATCACTGAACTTAAGTCAAAGGAAGAACCTTGAATTTAATCCTAACATCAAGGCCGATTTCAACAGTTTGCTAAGTGAGAAACTCTCAGGAACTCAATCCTAGCGATCATAGTTGATTTCAAAAGAAAATTCCAACCAAACCAAAATGGTTAAGATCTTTCCAGAATGATTATTTAAAATCACACTGTGCTCTTATGAATTAGTAAAGGGACACAATGGCTCAGCAACTAAGACGCTGAGATTGTTGATCGAAAAATTGCCAGTTCAGCGGTTCGAATCCCTAGTGCCGCGTAACGGGGTGAGCTCCCGTTACTTGTCCCAGCTTCTGTCAACCTAGCAGATCGAAAGCATGTAAAAAATGCAAGTAGAAAAATAGGGACCACATTTGGTGGGAAGGTAACAGTGTTCTGTGCACCTTTGGTGTTAAATCATACCGGTCACATGACCACGGAGACGTCTTTGGACAGCTCTGGCTCTTCGGCTTTGAAACGGAGATGAGCACCGCCCCCTAGAGTCGGGAACGACTAGCAGATATGTGTGAGGGGAACCTTTACCTTTACTTATGAATTAGTAACAAGTTAAAAAATTGAAACCAGACTCTAGAAATAAATGGAATGTTTCTTACATCCTTCATTACAGTATGCGAAATATGGGGTCTGTAAAGCAACTGTACAGAATAGTGTGTTGGTTTAGAAATGATTTAGAATAATAAACGATCCGGGCTGCAACCATGTTTGCAAATAATAGGAAATTATTGAAGAAGATAAAAATGAAACTAAATAAGTCTTGGAAGAGCTACAGATTTCTGCAGAGGAGAGACTGAGATGACAATCCCTGACCCATTCAACTAGGGACTGGGCCAACTTGAGGCATTTACCATATTTTTCGGAACATAAGATGCACCGGAGTATAAGACGCAGCTTAGTTTTTGGGGAGGAAACTAGGGGGGTAAAAAATCTGCATACCAGGTATTCATCTGGCTAGCGTCCTTAGTCTGGTCAGCTTCAGCACATTAGTTTGCTGGTTTTTATCCCCTGCTTGGGGATAAAAAACAGCTTCTAAAGCACAACTGATCTTTGGAGAGAGAAGCAATGAGAAAAGCAGGCAAAGCACGGAGATCTCTTCACTTGATAGCACCTCGTTAGGGCTGAAAAAAAGCTTCTAAAGCACAGCTGAGAGTAGGAGGGAGCAGGCAAAGCAGGGAAGATTGCTTCACTGAAAAAAGCTTCTAAAACACAGCTGGGACTCAGAGGGAGCAGGCAAAGCCCAGAAGATCGCTGCACTCGCCAGCGCCTTATTAGGGCTGAGAATTTTTTTTTGAAAAAGCTACATTCAGAGTATAAGACGAACCCAAATTTTCAGCCTCTTTTAGGCAGGAAAAAAGTGTGTCTTATACTCCGAAAAATACAGTAACTAATTGCTGGAAAGAATGCAGAAAAAGTCACCCAAACTATAATGAAATTTCTTCATAGAACAGCTTTCTTCCAAGGACTCCAAGGAATTTTCAGTATTTGAGCTTTTTAAAAACAGAAAACAACCCAGATAACTAACAGGGATCCATCTGAGGCCAGATCCTTAGCTTGGAAAAAAAGCTCAACCATCTTTCTGTTAATTCAGAGGTGGAGTGTAGCGCATTGAAACGCGTTCCGGATTCTCTACCTTCCCAATGTTTTAAAACAGGAAATACAGGAACGCTGTTGGCTTTTGTGACATTTAAAACACAAACAAACCCAGAATGGCTCAACATTTCCAGGAAAAGCTATGCCATTATAAAAAGGACAAAGCCCACCCAACTCCACAGAAATCAGCACAAGGGTGGTCCAAAATACATTCCTTTACAAACTGAGTTATTAGCGTCACAGAATTTCACTAGAATGGAAGAAATGTAAATTTATCCAGTGTCATAGGAAGCAGTACAGATAGTTTCTGACTTACAATAGTTTGTTTAGTGACTGCTCAAAGTTACCACGGCATTTAAAAATGTGACTCATCACCGTTTTTCACAGTTCCAACCTTTGCGGCATCCCCACGATCATGTGATCAAAACTCAGATGCTTGGCAACTGGTTCATACTTATGACCGTTGCTGTTTCCCAGGGTTGTATGATCACCTTCTGACAAGCAAAGTCAACGGGGAAGCCAGATTCACTTAACAACCCGGGTTACTAATTTATCAGCTGCAGGGATTCACTTAACAACTGTGGCAAGAAAGGTTGTAAAAATGGGGCAAAACTCACTTAACAAATGTCTCACTTAGCAACAGAAATTTTGGACTCAATTGTGGTGAGAAGTCGAGGGCTATCTGTATTTGCTTTTGTAAATCTTAGTCATATATTGCAACAATATTAATGTACTGTATATAACAGTTCAACATGTAAAAAATAGATGAGGGCCTGGTCTCACTTAACAACAGAAACGATGGGCTCAATTGTGGTTGTAAGTCAAGGACTACCTATATGGGGATTTAAAGGGTTTCTTTAAATCATAGCAAAGGCTTCCTCAGTCTAGTTTTGGTACATTCCCAGGGATTTTTTCCCCTAGTGACATTCTACACTCAATCACTGGGGTGTCACTATTTATTATACCACCAGCAGCTATTCCCTATCAATAGAGCCCAAACGGGTCCAAGATGCAGAGTTACGTACAAAGTTATAAAGAGACAAAATGTTTAAATCCACAGGAAGATGACACACACATACAAGAATGCATTGTTTGCAATTATTTACATGGTTAAAAAAAAACACAACAGAAGCGAACAATAATGAACAATCGGCAGAAAGAACAAACGAGCAAGAAAGAAGAATTTTCAAAAAGCAATTCAAAAATGTCTTTAAGGCAAATCAAAAGAGCAGAAGACGCTGTGAAAAGAAATGAAGCGAAGAGGAAGGAAGGAAGGAATGGAGATGGAAGGAGCTAAATGAAGTATAATCAAGAGAAGCCAAGAATGATACAAACATTAATCAGTTGGTTCTTTGCATCAGATTGCTACCACAGTAAAGATCCTGCTCAACAGGAAAGTGTGACATAAGCAACAATGACTATGTGTCAATTCCTCACAATCTCAGAAACTGCCCAGAAACAACATTCAGTATTGTTTGATGAAGAAGCTATCAACAATGGATCCAAATTTCCCTTCTCGCACCAAGAGTTTCTATATCAGGTGTCAAAGGATTAGAAAAATAATCCAGAAAAGCACCATTTTGCTTGCATTGATCATGTCTTGTGCTTTTCGGTATTCTGGAACCGCAAATCAAAAGCAGGAGTCTCATTCTATTCTTTGCTTAAGTGAGTTTCACACCCATCCAAAATTGCCCCGTTCTATGACTGGTACAAGGTTCTTATCTATTGTAATCATGTATGGTGCATTTGAGAAGACAGGTTTGGAACAATGCTGTGGCTTCTTGTCAGTGGCGAAATCCAAATTTTTTTTTTACTACCGGTTCTGTGGGCGTGGCTTGGTGGGCATGTTGTGGCTTGGTGGGGGTGGCAGGGGAAGGATACTGCAAAATCCCCATTCCCTCCCCACTCCTGGGGGAAGGATATTGCAAAATCTCCATTCCCACCCCACTCTGGGACCAGCCAGAGGTGGTATTTGCCGGTTCTCCAAACTACTCAAAATTTCCGCTACTGGTTCTCCGAACTGCTCAAAATTTCCGCTACCCGTTTTCCAGAACCTGTCAGAACCTGCTGGATTTCACCCCTGCTTCTTGGGCTCTTTTGGGGCTTCTCACAGGCATTTAATGGGAACTACTGTGGGAAGCAAAATGACAGATATTAAAACAAAAGCTTCTATGGGCAACATAAAAACCAAATTTAAAGATAATAGTAAAAAAAAAAACTCCAGGTTGAAGTTGTTATTTTAGAGGTTTCAACTATTAAATAGTACAATAATTTTTAACCTTTTCTCCAAAGTGACTAAAGCAGTAAAAATTTCCATCCACGCAGCCAACGTATACATAATCTTTGTCGCAATGGGGTGAGGAGAAGATAGGTTTCCCACAAATCGTTTTCCAAACAGTTTTCCCCATAACCTGCAAAAGCAAATAATTAACACAAGCTGCCTTTAAGATGCTCCATAGGTTAAACTAATGAGAAATTAAGGCATTCAAAGAAAGACTGGAACCAAACAAACAATTAACTAAAAAGCAGCAGTGGAAAGAATTTTTCTAAGTTCAGATTCTCAGAAACGCCTATATGTCAACCTTACAAGGTAGATCATAGTAGAAAACAATGCCGTATAGGACAGGACTAATTTTATTGTAAGAGCTACAGTTACAGAACCTTGCAAGTCTGAATGTGCTTCCCCCTCCCTTACGTCATCTTCATATGAGCTAGGGAAGGGGCTGTTTTCTCTAATTACTTTGCTAGCCTGAGCTCAAGTCCTGTTTATCTAACCATTGCTTTGGTAACAAGCTTTTTTTCCTGTCCTTCAAGGTCATTCTCTATGCCTTCTCACTTAGGGAGGGACAGATTGTTATAGCTACCTAACTTAATCAGATAACAAAGGAGCAACTACCAATTCTGCTTTCCTATATTTCAAATATTTTAAAGAAAAAGCATCTGTTGTTGAAATGAGGCAACATGAAATCATATTAAATAACGAAGAGGGATTAATTCACTACTGCAGTAATACCTATGCAAAAATCATTCACTAATTTTTACTTGTGTACATCTCTGTAAATACTATAGCATTTTACATAGGTGGTTACAATTCCACAAGAATTAAATTAACAAGGAGCTGATAAATAAATTAGCTTCTGACCCCTTAACATGTGCCATTTCTATCATTACGCTGAATTAATAAATGCTAACATAGTTTGAAATCCTTGCATCAGAAAAGAATATATTGAATATATTCAGTAATTGTAATGTTATCAAAAGTCTTCTTCTCTGTAGCCCCGTTATTCAGAGTTTTTAAAGCCTACAGTGAATCTAGAACTTCATGCATATATAACTAGGAAGTTACGTACAGGATTAACAGCAAGTAGTAGTCCTCCCAGAGTACCAACGTACAGGTGATGTGGAAACAGGTGTAGATGAGGAGAAGAAAATATACCTCCAGACTCACTGTGTAACCTCCAAACACATTCCTTCTTCTGTCAAGAGTAACAAAATTTACATTTCACAATGCGACACAACTTAATTTAAGGTTAACATAGAAGGCCTTACTGTAGAGCAGGGGTGGGGAACAGTGGTGGGTTTCAAATTTTTTTACTACCACTTCTGTGGGTGTGGCTTGGTGGGTGTGGCATGGTGGGCGTGGCAGGGGAAGGATACTGTAAAATCTCCATTCCCACCCCAGTCCAGGGGAAGGATACTGCAAAATCCCCATTTCCTCCCGATCAGCTGGGAGGCAGAGAATAGATGGGGGCGGGGCCAGTCAGAATTTTTACTACCGGTTCTCTGAACTACTTAAAATTTCCGCGACCGGTTCTCCAGAACTGGTCAGAACCTGCTGAAACCCACCTCTGGTGGGGAACAATGACCCTTTTATGACTTACGGATTTCAACTCCCAGAATTCCCAAGCCCGACATGCCGGCTCAGGAATTCTGGGAGTTGAAGTCCACAAGTCATAAAAGGGCCATAGTTCCCCACCCCTGCTTTAGAGCAATCTATTTTAAAATATTGTATTATCTTGATATGAATCTTTATGATCAGGGTTTTTTTTTTCCTTTTCCTTTTAATCGTATATGATTCTCAGAGCAGTGGTGGAATTCAGCCGGTTCGGGCCGGTTCAGATGAAACGGTAGTTAAATTGCTGGGTGGCCCTGCCCCTTCCTGCCCGCCCCTTCCAGGAGTCCTCATGTGCCACATTTTGGTTCCCAGGTAAGTGTAGGGAGGCCTACTAGGCCCAAAACAGGGCACGGGGGGGTGCATTTTTCCCCCCCCCCCCACAGCCCATTTTTGCTCCCAGGGGGGTGCAGGAGGCCGAGTGCTACCTGTGGCACCCTGGCCATGCCCACCATGGCCATGCCTACCTAGCTGGTCCTTAGGGCAGAGAACTGATTGTTAAATGAGCCGAGGTGGCGCAGTGCTTAGAGTGCTGTATTGCAGCTACTTCAGCTGACTGCTAGTTCAGCAGATCAAATCTCACCGGCTCAAGGTTGACTCAGCCTTCCATCCTTCCGAGGTGGGTAAAATGAGGACCCAGATTGTTGGGGGCAATATGCTATTTAGTATACTGTCGATTGTTGTAAGCCGCCCAGAGTCCTCAGAGAGTGGGCAGCATAGAAATATGATAGATGATAGATAGATAGATAGATAGATAGATAGATAGATAGATAGATAGATAAATAAATAAATAGTTTGAATCCCACCACTGTCTCAGAGGCTGCCTGGACAAATCTCTCCAGTTTTCTTGGTTAGAATTTTCAGAAGTAGTTTGCCATCCAGCTGTCCTTTTAACTAAGGCAGGACCAGAATTCACTGGTCCCCTGGTTTCTAGTCTGATACACAAACTAGCTTTCTTATGCTTAGTAACAATTTCTACATCTATATCTATTCCACCATTGTTATAGTTATTATTATTATTACATCAGTATTTAAATCGCTTCTCTCCAGAAGAATGATCCACTGTATATCACAAACTAATACAAAATACAGAAGGATGTACCTTAAATATTGTGTTAAAAATAACACTGCAGCATAGCATGCAAGCATAATAAAAGTAGCATCACAACCACCAAGCTCTTGCTTGGTGAAGGCAATGGAAGAAATAATGAATTAAGAACCACAGGCTGCAAATGTGTGTGATCTCTCGGGGGTTTTATTTTTCTGAGCAGAAGCAAAAAAAAATATATGGCGTGGTTAAATAATTAAACGGCTAGAGTTGTCAGCACTATATTTTGGGACATTTAAAATAAGAAGTGGAACCGAAATATTTTTAATCGATCAATCAAAACCAAAGCAAGGCCAGTAGCTGATTATGATCTATAGTTCCCGTTGACAATGTATTCTGGAACGGGAATTCGATTTTAAACGTCAACCTCTAAGGCTGCAGTTCTTAGTGCCCTGATTTGGCATTTGTTCCACTGAAATCCATATGGCTTGATTTGATATGAAATGAACACTAGGCCGGAAAACATTCCCATTAATAACAACATTCCTAGTTGTTGTTGTTGTTTTTTAATTATTCCTTTGAGTCAGTCTTCCTTCCTGATGACTAGCTGGACAGGTGTACACACAATTTTCTTGGTAACATTTTCAAATGTTTGCCATGACCTTTTTTAGGGGACTGGAGGCTAAAACATATGAAGAACGATTGCAGGAACTGGGTATGTCTAGTTTGATGAAGAGAAGGACTAGGGGAGACATGATAGCAGTCTTCCAATATCTCAACAAAGAAGAAAGAGTCAATCTATTCTCCAGAGGACCTGAGGGTAGAACAAGAAGCAATGGGTGGAAACTAATCAAGGAGAGAAGCAACTTAGAACTAAGGAGAAATTTCCTGACAGTTAGAACAATTAATCAGTGGAACAACTTGCCTCCAGAAGTTGTGAATGCTCCAACACTGGAAGTTTTTAAGAAGATGTTGGATAACCGTTTGTCTGAAGTGGTGTAGGGTTTCCTGCCTAAGCAGGTGGTCGGACTAGAAGACCTCCAAGGTCCCTTCCAACTCTGTTTTTCTATTCTATTCTATTGTATTTTTCTTAGGACTGAGAGAGAGGGAGTGACAGAACTGAAATAAACCGAGGTGGCTTCGTGCCTAAGGAAGGACTAGAACTCTTAGCCTCTTAATTTTTAGCTCAACACTCTTAATAGCAATAGCACTTAGACTTATATACCGCTACAGTGCTTTACAGCCCTCTCTAAGCGGTTTACAGAGTCAGCATATTGCTCCCAACAATCAGGGTCCTCATTTTACCCACCTCGGAAGGATGGAAGGCTGAGTCCACCTTGAGCCAGTGAGACTCGAATTGCCAAACTGCAGGAGGCCGGCAGTCAGCAGAAGTAGCCTGCAGTACTGTGGTTCCCAACCATTCTGGCTTTGTGATGGCAGCGGGTGGGGGGGTGGGGAAGAGAGAGACGGGGTGGTCCGACAAGCGCATACACGCAGCTCCATTTGCAAATGGCGGGCACGCACACATGCTGCTTGGAGAAATGGAGCTTTGCGCATATGCACTCGCCCACCACTTGTGCGACCCAGTTCCGAAACGGCTGTGGTCTGGTACTGGGCCGTAGCCTGTGGTTTGTGGACCCCCTCTGCCTTAACCCAACTGGATGAAACTAGCTCTTGACATTCACATTTACTTACATAGATATCCAAAGCATATATGTGCTGGTCATGAGATCCAATAAAGACTAATCCTGTGGAAGGATCCAAAGCCGGAGAACTTTTCACAGCATCTTGTGTGGGAAATGCCCAGTGGACTTCCCCATTACTGTTCTGGAGAACATATACCAGTCCGTTATAACAACCTGCATAAAAAAAAAAATCACAGCCACAGAAACACAGGTGCATTTGGAAAAATGTTCTAACCGGTGATGTGAATATATTTTCAAGTTCCAAACAGACAGTTCTGATCACAAGGAATGTCTGTAGGCCTTGTGGTGAAAATTGGCAAGGCAGGCATATACCAAAGGAGTTTGGATTGCAACACTATGTCCGTCATCTTGGCAATGGAGCCCCCCGGTGCTGACGCTTTTCTCACTTTGCAGGGGGTGGTCTAATCTCAAAATATTTTTCACACACCTGTATATGCTTATTTCATTTGCAGCAGACAAAATTAATCACTATATTAGCCACTAAACCAGTTTTCAAACTTTCAAATAATTAAGGTGAATTCATAAAACCATCACTGTTGAATCTACAATACTGTTCATTCACGAAGGAAAGCGAATATACATGTTCTAGGATAATGTTGCAGCATCCAATCTAGGTCGGTCACCTGGGACCAGAGTTTTAGTTTTCCGAGCTTTCGGACGCGTGCTGGAGCCCATCCTCCTAAGGCAGGGGTCTGCAACCTTAAACACTCAAAAGAGCCATTTGGACCATTTCCCACAGAAAAGAAAACACCAGGAGCCACAAAATCTGGGTGGGTGTGGTCAACTCGACGTCACTCACTCCCACCAAGTCACATGACACCCCCCCCGCCACGCCTACCCAGGTTTTATGGCTACCAGTGTTTTCTGTGGGAAACAGGTATCTCTGTGTGTGTCTCTTTCTCTGTCTCTGTCTTTCTCTCTCCTCTCTCTCAGGCCAGGCGAGGAGTGACTGGAAGGGGAAGGTGAGGGGTGGGGCCAGCCAGTGGTGGGTTCAGCCAATAAGGAGCCACAGCAGGGGGATGAAAGAGCTGCATGCGGCTCTGGAGCTGCGGGTTGCTGACACCTGTCCTAAGGGCTTGGAAACAACAGCCATCAACTTAATAGCCAGCCATCAACACCCCAATCAACAACTAAAAAGCCACACACAAAAGCCACGGTATAAATATCACACACAGAATAGCCCAAAGCACACATATATTCCCCGAGGATGGGTTCCAGAATGTGTTGTGGCCGTCAGCGGCCTGTGCAGCTAGTAGCTGATTCTGACAGCGAGGAGACTGGTGTGGTACTGCGCCAGCAGCCTGTGCAGCTGGCACTTGAGTCGCACAATGAGGAGGCTGGAGAAGATGTGGATTCAGCCGGGGCCTTCAGAACCTCCAGAAGCTCCCATAAGTGAAGAGGAAGAAGAGGAGGAGCCTCTTCTCGATGCACGGGTGTGCAGAGCTGCCAAAAGGCAGGAGTGGCTCCTCAGGAGGAGGTCTCCTCAAGAGTAAGGCTTGGGGCTAATTGGCCACTCCCTTAGCCTATTTAAGGAAGGACGACGACTGAGGCAATTTGCAGGGAACAACTTCGTTCACTCTCCTTCGCGTCTTGATCTTAGTTCTCTGCAAATTGCTTCTGGGCTTTCTGCCAACCATAGTAAGATTACGATTATTTATTCTTTGGATTCTTTCAGGCTGTTAAGAAAGTTAATTAACAGCCTTTGTTTGAAAAAGACTGGTTTAATTGAGTAAACTAAGGTTTGTACAGACTTTGTGTGTGCTGCGTTCTTTGGGGTCCGTAGCTGGGGCAGAACAGAATGTGTCTGGAAGCTCAGAAGACCTAAACTTCTGGTCCTGGTGACAAACCGAGATTAGATCCTGCAACACTTGTTCACTGCATTTTACGTTACAAAATATATTACTCTTTGATAGTATTTTCCACGGGATACGACCAAGGATTCTGAATACTTACCAACAACAATGAAGTTTCCACACTTAGATACACAGGCGGAGGATTCGATGCGGCCTGCAAGGCTTCTTGTCCATTTCACTTTGCCTGAATGTAAGCCAATCGCTTGAACCACGTGAGAATGAGATCCGATATAAACAAGAGCAGACGATCTGTCAGGAACTGGGATTACAAGTAGCGGAGAGGCATCGACACATTTGCCGAGATCCGAGGTCCATCTTACATGCAGTGTCAGCTTTTGGGTAACTTCACCAAGATTTGCTTCATCCAAATTTCCTTCAGCAGAATAATCTTCTGTTATATTTAGATTCGTGTCGCTATCTGGCGACACTTCATCCTTTTCTGCCGGTTCTGCTTCAATCTGATTTTTCACAGGCTCATTGATAGACACTAAGTGGTTTCCTCGACTTACGGCAATAAAACCTATGGGGCCCACGTCAGTTTTCAGTGAATTTTCAGGGGTAAGCTCCACATACTTATTGTTCGGTTCTTCACCGAGAGGGTCACTCGGTTTTCTTTTTACAGCACTGTGAGGGCTTATAGTTAGGTTGTCCCTTGGGAAAGCTGATTTTAGGATGTGTTTGTAGATCTCGCTAATGGAATGATTGAGAATAATTTCTACTAAGTCAGGAACAGGCCTACCTACCATACGTTCAATTTCGTCATGAAGCTGCAGCAATTTTAAAGAATCCCCGCCACTAGGCAAGAACTGTGACTCTTCCAAAATACAACTGGAACCATCTGGAAGATTAAGAATAGCCTGGGGGCAGAGGGAGAAAAAGGAAGAAGCAAAGTGTTATCATCAGTGGTGGGGATTCAAATAGTTTAACAACAGGTTCTCTGCCCTAATGACCGGTTGGGTGGGCATGACCATGGTGGGCGTGGCCAGGGGGTGTGACAGGCAGCACTCAGCCTCCTGCACCCCTCCTTGGAGCAAACACGGACCATGGGGGGCATACCGCCCCCGGTGCCCCATTTTGGGCCTAGTAGGCCTCTCTGCAGCCTCCTGGAAGCAAAAACGGGCCACGGGGAGAGCGCGTCGCACCCCCGTGCCCCGTTTTGGGCCTAGTAGGCTTCCCTGCACTTACTTGGGAGACAAAGCGGGGCGCCTGGGGACTCCTGGAAAGGGCGGGCTGGGGAGGGGTGGGGCCAGCCAGCAATTTAAAAACTGGTTTGCCCAAACTGGCCCGAACTGGTTGAATCCTACCACTGGTTATCGTGTATAGGTTAATTTACATCAGAAGTACACACCTAGTAGCAAAGCAAGTGAGTAATCTACAAAGCAGTAAGGACCAAATAGATTCAAAGAGAAACTAAGACAAGCTATAGATGCTACTGATACTTAAGAAGAGACATCAGCTCTCTGAAGCAAGGTAAGAAGACTATCTTTCAATCTTTTAAAGCAGATAAAAAAGGGGAAAGGAAGCAACACTATTAAAATGAAGTGATGGATAAAGTCACCATCTGAGCAAAGTTGTAACTGATTCATATGCTTAATTGCCATGGACGTTTCTGGATACAGCACCTGATCAAATTTTATGCAGTACAGGTTGAACATTTTAGTAGCATAAAATGGATAGGAACGTCTACCGATATATAGGACTGTAGCCATTTTATAATTTTACAGTATATAGGGAAACGACATGCAAGCACAGTAGAAGGACGCAACTTATTGGAATACCTATATTGCCACTATGGATTCTAGCTCATAAAAATTAGAAGCTCAATGTTTAATTTAATTTAATCCTGTTCTAGGGTTTGCTTATTAGACAGGGCAGTTAATCCTCAACGTGTCTTCTCACTTATAATAAATCAGAAACAGGTGCAGTGAATAAAACAGATATTTTGAATATCTGATATTCAATCTATGCAGAAATGCTGGATCTGTTTGATTATTTTGGTCATGCCTTTATTAAAAAAAAATAAGTCGCGTTTCAACTTATCCCAGAGAGGCAAGCATTAATGGCTCATTGGGCACAGCGCTATTCATTACAACTGCCTACCATTATCTGAGTCCTGAGGTTTTAGAGAAATATTAATAATTTCTCTAAAGCTATTGCAAAGAATCCAAGTCAATGATAGAAGCTACAGCATGCAAAGACCCAAGAATATTCATTCCTGTTCTTCTCTCTCTTGTTCAAATGACTGAATTATGGATGCTTAAGAGAATTCTTATGATATGGGAATAATGCAGTTTAATCGACTACCTGCCAGAGACTCTGTAAGCCTTGCCATAGTTCTTCTTCGCTTAGCTTGCTGTCACTTTTTCGAGAATTCAGGTGGCTGCTGTAAATCTGGTTCAGCTCGGACACATCAATTTTGCCTTTGCACAAAGCGAAAAATAAAACAAGTTTTTATTATAATAAAACAAAGCATTCCTATATCTTTATTGTAGCTTAACACTCCATTGCAGGCCCAATCTATATGTATGTTTGAGTCCACAAATGATTTTAGTGAAAGTAAAACTACAAACAGGTTTTACACACACACACACACACACACACACACACACACACACACACACACACGTACTATATCATCATATTTTAACGACCCCATAATCCAGTGATGGCTAACCTTTTTGCCATCGCGTGCCAGGAGAGGGGGGGCGGGGGAGGGTCACGGCGCACGTGCCCACGCGCATGCGCGGGCAACCCCTCTTTCCCCCCCTCCTAGAGAGGAGCCTCTCTAGGAGTCTCTAGAGGCTGGGGACAGCGAAAAAGTCACTTCCTGTCCCACCGGGAGTCGGGAAATGGGCCCTTTCAGCCTCCGTAGGGCCTCCAAGGGAGTGGGAAAGGCTGTTTTCGCCATTCCCAGATAAATAGAGAGGATCTGGAGCCAGGTAAGAAAGAAAAACGGGCCTTGCCCACCCACCCACCCCAGGCCCTCCAGAGGCAGGAAACAACCTGTTTCCCTACTTCTGGTGGGCCCAGAAGGCCTGAAAATCAGCTGGCTGGTGTGTGCATGCGCCCCAGAGCTGAGCTGGCGTGCCCACTAATATGGCTCCACATGCCACCTGTGGCACGCGTGCCATAGGTTTGCCATCACGGCCATAATCCCTTGCGGGGTGGAGTCTGGGCAACTGAATGGAGCTGAGTGTTTACTGGCCAGATGCCCTTCCTGTTGCCAATGCAGAGTTCTTTTTTCAACAGATATATTCTCATCGTGCCTAGAGAGAAATATCTGCCTATACCTAGGATCAAACTCACAGCCTCCTGATCCACCTCTAGGCCACCGCACCACTCCCATGTGTACTATATACTGTACTAAATGCAATATATATATTCCAAATCACACATTCAGACACTTAGATATAGTGTAGATATAGATATATCTGAATAAGAGAAATAAGAACATCATCATAGCATGCAGAGTGAGATTCTGGTTAGAACACAAATCAGCGGTACACAGATTAGCCATCAATTCAGGTTAGCTGGACTTCGTACATACTATTAAAATAATGCTTAGGATCATCCAACACAGATTAGAGCCCTAAAATAGGATGGAAATGCCAGCTGTTCAAGCTGGCTTTAGAATAAGTCAAAGAACGAGCAACATTACTGCTAATGTATCCTAGAAAATTGAGACAACCAAAGGACAACAAAAAGAAATCAGTATATTATTTATTTGTCTTGAACTGTGCCAGCCACGTGCCTAGAAAAATAGGAATCTCAGAACATCTCACTGTCTTCATGCAACACCTACGGTATTTTTCGGAATATAAGACACTCCGGACTATAAGACGCACCTACCTATTTTGGGGAGGAAAACAAGGGGGAAAAAATCTGCCTCTGCCTCTGAGCAATTTGCCTCCTTGCAGCAAAAAGCAAACAGCCTGCTTTAGTTTCATTTTCATTTTCAGCACAGCCTGATTAGCACAAAGAAAAAAAATCTGCCTCTCAGCAATTTACCTCCTTGCAGCAAACAGCGGAGGCCAGCGCAGCAATAGGCAATGGCAATCCCTGCAGCCTGAAACAGCTGAGGGTCGGGAGGCTGATCCAACTGACAATCAATTGTTTGTGCTAATTAGGCTGTGCTGAAGCTGAAACGGGCTGTTTGCTGCTAGGAGGTAAATTGCTGGGAGGCAGAGGCCAAAGGGTGGGGGCCAGTGGGTGGGCGGGACTACATTAGGTGTATAAGACGCGCCCAAATTTTCACCCCCTTTTGGGGGGGGGAAATGCGTCTTATACGCCGAAAAATACAGTATATACAATTCAGGAAGCCCAATTGTGGATCAAACATAGAGAAATGGACTGGCTCCAGGTCATCAAGGGAATGAGATGTGACTATGTTCTTTCGTAGAATATGTAAACGGTGGATAGCTTCCATCTTATGCCATCCGTTTTCACAGCAAACCAACCAGCAATCAAGAAATATGCCACGAACTAAAACTTGGTACATTAACCAAGAAGCCTTTGGAAAATATATTCAGATGCTGCGATATATGTGCAGGTAGTTCTCGACTTGTGACCACAATTTAGCCCAAAATTTATGTGGCTAAGTGAAACATTTGTTAAGTAAGTTTTGCTCCATTTTACATCCTTCTTGCCAAAGTTGTTAAGTGAACTATTGCAGTTGTTTAAGTAAGTAACATGGTTGTTAAGTGAATCTGGCTTCCCGATTGACTTTGCTTGTGAGAAGGTCACAAAAGGGGATCGCTTAACCCCAGGGCATGGCAACCGTCATAAAGATGAACCAGTTGCCAAACATCCAAATTTTGATCATGTGACCATGGGGATGCTGCAACGGTTGTAAATGTGAAAAAATGGTCATAAATCACTTTTTTTCAGTGCCGTCGTAACTTTGAATGGTCACTAAATGAACTGTTGTAAGTCGAGGAGTGCCAGCATATCTACAAATATCAGAATGGTGCGAGGAATACTTTTCCACGTGACACTCCATGGAAGTGAAATCTGGACAATGAAAAGTAGAAATAGTATCGATGCTTTTGAACTCTGAAGTTGGAGAAATCTCCTGAGAATACCACAGATAGCCAAGAAATGTCCCAAAGGTGTTTTTTTCAAAAGACAACTGGACTTTCTTCTTTTTTTCTTTGAAGACATTTCGCTACTCATCCAAGAAGCTTCTTCAGCTCTGATTGGATGGTGGGGTACGGAAGGATTTACACTCCTTGCAGACAGCCAGTCATTTGCATGCTTTTAGTGAGTCGTTAAGGCCACCTGGAGGTTTATCTCTGTCCCCAAGATCACCTGAGGGATGCAAATGGACACAGATAAACCTCCAAGCGGCCTCAACAACTCACTAAAAAGAATGCAAATGACCAGCTGTTTGCAAGGAGTATAAATCCTTCCATTCCCCATTTTCCAGTCAGAGCTGAAGAAGCTTCTTGGATGAGAAGCAAAACGTCTTCAAAGAAAAACCAAAAAGTCCAGTTGCCTCTTCAAAAAGCACCTTTGGGACAACCAGGACTGAGAATCTCCACAGACAGCCAAGAAAATAAACACGAGGCTCACAGAACAACTCAATCCAGTGTTCTCACTTGAGTTAAAAATAACCAGAACAAATTTTCAGACTTTGGACATATTCTCAACTCCCTTGAGGAGTCTATAATGCTGGGAAAGGTGGAAAGAAAAAGAGGATGACTAGAAGCAAACTGAATGGACAGAGTATCAAAGTATCACAGTAGTTGTGAGTGCACTTCAAGATCTGAAGGACCACACACAAACAGGTCATCCTGGAGAAAATTTCTGTATGTGATCCGTATAAGAACTGACATTGACTTGATGGCACATAATCAGTCTGACTTGGCTTCTCTCAGGTTTCCCCATGCTCTAAAAAAACAAGCTATTTTCGTAACAAGATGTTCCGATAAAATGTTATTTACATCTGGAAGCCGAAGAAAACACCCAATCGGTCTCTGAATTAATGAGCCAGAGTGGCAGATGGCTCCCTTGTGTGATGTTTGATCTGGTAGAACTGGTGTTCCATCAGTACGTTTGTTCTCGTCTGGTTTTATGTCTTAATTAGTCTGGGCCGTATTGCCTTCCAAGTTGTGATGGAATTGGGGGGCTTATAAATTTAAGAAATAAATATACTGTATTTTTCTGACTATAAGAAGCACTTTTTTGTCTCCCAAAAGGGGGCGAAAATGTCTGTGTGTCTTATAGACCGAATATTTCCAAAGCCCCGCTCACCCACCAGCCATTTTTTGGCCTCTGCACGCCCTGTTTTCGGGCCTTTTTTCGACCTTTTTGGGGCCCATTTTCGAGGCTTTTTTCGGCCCGTTTTGGGGGGTTTTAGGGCCATTTTCAGGGCTTTTTAGGCCTGTTTTTGAGGCTTTTGGGGCCATGTTTCTGAGGCTTTTTTTTGGCCTGTTTTCGGGGCTTTTTTTGGCCTGTTTTCGAGGCTTTTTGTGGCCCGTTTTTTCTGAAAAAATGGGCCAAAAAAAAAAGCCTCAAAGTGGGTCAAAAAAGCCTAGAAAACGGCCCCAAAAAACCTAAAATATGGGCCAAAAAAGCCTAGAAAACAGGCCAAAAAAGCCTCAAAAACGGGCAAGAAAAAAAACCCCAAAATGGACCAAAAAAAGCCTTGAAAACGGGCTGAAAAAAGCTCCCAAAACAGGCCGAAAAAAGCCCAGGAAACAGGCCAAAAAAAAAAAGACTGGAAAAGGGCTGAAAAAAGGTAGGCCAAAACTTTTTGTTGTTATTTTTCTCTTCTAAATTTAGGTCCGTCTTATAGTCCGAAAAATACACACAGTAGGCATTTATACGAATATTTACCGTGGGATGTGAATGGCAAAGTATCAATCAGCAAAACCTCATCTGGAATTGCATAGCTTGGGAGACGTTCCTGGAGCTTTTTAAAAAGGTGCCGCTTTGAAACAGCTTTGGGGGCAACAAACAGAATTAATTTTTCTTGTTGGTACCATATCAAGGCACAGGTTTCCACTGTGCAGAGGCTCTCTGCCACCTGCAAAATAAAACCACGATAATTCTGAGAAAACGTGCAGAAATCCATGAAGATGAACACCTATATTTCTTCTTCCCCTCATCATTCAAGTAACTTTCAGTCCCATGAATGCAGAGATCAGGGGTGTCAAACTTGATTTCATTGAGGGCCACCTCAGAGTTGTGTTTGACCTCGGGGGGGGGAGCGTTTTGGGGGGGCAGGATGGGTGTGGTCAACTTGACGTCACTCGTGTTGGGGTGCCTGTGTTGGCTTGAATGCTCTGACAGTGAAAACTGGCTCCCAATCTTCGTTTTTGGCTGGAACGGCCTCCTGCAACCCTCTGCTAGCGAAAATGGAGCTCGGGAGGGCCGCGTATTCAGTAAAGGGCCGCAATGGCTCAAAGGCTAAGACGCTGAGCTTGTCGATTAAAAGGTTGGCAGTTCAGCAGTTCGAATCCCTAGTGCCATGTAACGGGGTGAGCTCCCGTTACTTGTCCCAGCTTCTGCCAACCTAGCAGTTCAAAAGCATGTAAAAATGCAAGTAGAAAAATAGGGATCAGCTTTGGTGGGAAGGTAACAGAATTCTGTGCGCCTCTGGCGTTTAGTCGTGCCAGCCACATAACCACGGAGACGTCTTTGGACAGTACTGGCTCTTCGGCTTTGAAACGGAGATGAGCACCGCCCCCTAGAGCCGGAAACGACTAGCACGCATATGTGGGGGAACCTTTACCTTAATATCGAAGTAATCTCAAAAACTCAGGTAATATCTATCTTTCAGACTCTTCATGGCCCAATCTCACTTCTGTATTAGTTTTAAAAAAACCTTTTCATAGTTACCTATTACCTCACCTGCTGTACATATTCAGTGTTGAGACGCTTGCCATGACGCTTAATTTGATTGTCCTTCCGCCCCAAGAAAAACATTTCAGCGTTCTTAACTTTTACGAAATCTCCGGTGGCTCTCATGGTGTCCACAGGTAATGTTGTTTCGCCATCAATGAAGCAGACGCGTCCATTTCCTCCTATGCAGAGCAATTTTAAGCAGTAAGTCAGGCTTCCTCTTCTCAATCCATATAATGCAGGCTAAAAATGATCTTAAAGCAGGGGTAAAATCCAGCAGATTCTGACAAGTTCTGGAGAACCGGTAGTGGAAATTTTGAGCAGTTTGGAGAACCGGCAAATACCACCTCTGGCTGGCCTCAGAGTGGGATGGGAATGGAGATTTTGCAATATCCTTCCCCCAGGAGTGGGGAGGGAATGGGGATTTTGCAGTATCCTTCCCCTGGAGTGGGGTGGGAATGGAGATTTTGCAGTATCCTTCCCCTGCCATGCCCACCAAGCCACACCACGCCCACAGAACCAGTAGTAAAAAAATTTGGATTTTACCATTGCCCTAAAATGAGATTTATCAGCCTTGTGAGATAGTTCAGGTGCAAAGCATACCCAGATGAGCTGAATTCTACTTTATTGTAAGGTTACATTATCAGAATCTTGCAAGTCTGAAAGTGTATTTCTCCCCATTGTTTTTACAGCCCAAGAAATTAGGGCAAATCCTTTCTGAAATGTTTGCCACCCCTCAGGTTCAGCTGCCTCTTATCTGACTGTTATTTGCTGTATGGCTCTTCCTCCTGTCTACCAAAGTCATTCCCACATACCATTAACTCGATACAGGAAAACAACACAATGAGTCTTTCAAACTTGATCAACTTACCCATCTAATAGCTACCATATTTTTCAGATTACAAAACGCACCAGACTGTAAAATGCACCTAGATTTAGAGGAGGAAAACAAGAAAAAAAAAAAGGTTTTGGCCTCCGTGTGTCCCGTTTTCGCCCTCCCTAGCCCCAGAAGCACTTTGCAGGCCAAAAACGGACCCATTTTTGGCTTCCCGAACCTTCCACGTCTCCTGTTTTTGCCAAAAATCCCCCCATTTTTGGCCTGTAGAGTGCTTCTGGGGGGCCAGAGAGGGTGAAAACAGGATGCGTGGAAGGTTTGAGAAAGCCAAAAACAGGCCCGTTTTTGGCAAAAATGGACCCATTTTTGGTGAAAACAGGACGCGCAGAGGGTTTGGGAGTGCTTCTGGGGGCCAGGAAGGGCAAAAATGGGACGCCAAAAACAGGCCCGTATTTGGTCTATAAGATGCACAGACATTTCCACCCATTTTTTTGGGGGGGGGAAACGTGCGTCTTATAGTCCGAAAAATACGGTAATTTTTATCACACTGAACTACTGCATGTAGCGTGAGAGAGTTCAGTCTTGCACACTGCCACCGTCCTATCTGCTCCATGAAGAATACAGAAGGCTCTATTTTCATTTTTGTTGAATATAGCTTCCTGTGCGTAAACATTAACTGTGATTATTTTTAATAAGCCTACTTCGCTTCCCATGGTTTGATGTTGGCTTATTTTGATGTGAGATAAGAGAAAATGCAAAAACATTAGAGCCTTGTGCGTATTATAATTCTTTAGCATGATAGCCGATAGCCACTTCTGACTGTGATGCAAAGTAATTATAGCGCCTTCCATCACTAGGTTAAAACTTCCATTCATAGCTACTCTTTGTGTAGGCTGAAATTGATGGGAATTGGGAGTACATTATTCCGAGAATCCGGATTCATAACTGCATAGCATTACAAGAAAGTGTAGCGCTCAAAATAAAGTGTTTAAAACACACTACAGGAAGTCCTCGAATGAAGAGCTCAAAATTTGTGTTTCCTTGCCAAAGTTGTTAAGTGAATCACGGCAGTTTGTAACATGGTTGTTAAGTGAATCTGGCTTCCCCATTGACTTTGCTTGTCAGAAAGTCAGATAAGGTGATCACATGACCTGGGACCAGTGGTGGGTTGCCCCCGGTTCGGACCGGTTCACAAGAACTGGTAGTAAAATCCGCAGGAAGCCCCACCCACTGTCCCGGATGTTGTCATCGGCGATCTGCGCATGCACAGAAGCTTCTGCGCGATCCCATTGCGAACCGGTAGTAAAGGTAAGTAGAACCCTACCCCTGCTTGGGACACTGTAATCATCATAAATATGAGTCAATTGCTAAGCAATCTGAATTTTGATCATGTGACCATGGGGCTGCTGCAACCGTTGCAAGTATGAAAAACGGTTGTAAGTCACTTTTTTCAGTGCCGTTGTAACTTCAAACAGTCACTAAACAAACTGTTGTAAATCGAGGATTACCTGTATTCCAATTAACCCCAGACCTTGCCTTACTGATGAGGCTGAAAACAAACATCTTGTCAAATTATTAAAATCTGATGCCAGTTTTTAAAAACTTTTTAACTGCATTTTTATTTTATAGTGTTCAGAAATCAAAATATTTAAATCCCAGTTAGAAAAAAAAATCGCTTATTTTGGGGGAATCTTTTAAGCTCATTCAAAGTCTTCAATCTAATAACTGGGCTGTTCCCAATTATTCCAATTACTAACTATAGGTAAGAAAAACTCTGCTATTTTAATACTCTGGTCAAACTAATTCCCGCACTACCTAATCAGAAATCTCTAGAAGTTTGTAGTCAAACGTTAGCGCCAGTGGTGGGATTCAAATTTTTTTACTACCGGTTCTGTGGGTGTGGCTTGGTGGGCGTGGCAGGGGAAGGATACTGTAAAATTTCCATTCTCACCCCACTCCAGGAGAAGGTTGCTGCAAAATCCACATTACCTCCCTATCAGCTGGGACTCGGGAGGCAGAGAATAGATGGGGGCGGGGCCAGTCAGAGGTGGTATTTACCGGTTCTCCGAACTACCCAAAATTTCCGCTACCGGTTCTCCAGAACTGGTCAAAACCTGCTGAATACAACCTCTGGTTAGCACCCTGGAAATAGCTTCCTCCTTCACTGGAATCCAATGGCTATTATGATCATCTTCAAGTAATGATTGTTTTAATTAAAAAAATAAAAAATAAAATTACCTATAAATACTTGGCCTTCACCTTCTTGGACAAGTAAGCCATTGGCATCTTTGACTTCAACTGCTGTTCCAGATAACGGTATTCCCAGTGGTACAGGGGAATCAAATCTGAAAAAGGATGGGGTGAGCCGGCAGAAGAGAGAGAGATGTGAAACAAGGATGAACAGTAAGTAAAGAACTAATTTCTTCATTCAGACCATCAGAAAAAGAATCAAGCCACTATCCAAATTGTTCACGAGTATTAATTAGATCAAAAAAATAGAAAGTAAAATCATTGCCAACATTTACATGTTTTATCCACAAGTCAAATATTGCAGAACGTGGCTCAGTCACTTTTAATTATGTCCAGCACTCAAGTTCAGTTGTGTACTTTTAAGTATACAGCATGCTGAATTTAAAAGACTGCTTTGAGTTCAAGTGTTCTGCGTTTGGAATGAATGATTTGGCTCATTCCAGAAGTATGCATGGTTCAAGTGATGCACGCCCAACTCTGAAGTCAAAATGTTTCTGGAATGGATAAAACAACCCATTTCACATATGAAACATTCCCAATTCAAAATCCCCACAGCATTGAGCCAAGGGGTGGGCTTCAAAAATTTTAGCAAGGGGTTCTTTGCCCAGTTGCTGGATGGGCGTGGCCATGGTGGGTGTGGCCTAGTCAGCCTCCTGCACCTGGGAACACCATTTTCGCCCTCCCGGAGGTTTGAGGAAAGCCTCCGGAGCCTGGGGAGGGCAAAAACGGTGTTCCCAGGCTCTGGAGGCCCACTGGAGGTCAGAAACAGGCCCATTTCCGGCCTTCCCGATTTTCTGGTATGCCTGTTTTTCACCCTTCCTGAACGGGTGCGTGGGACCGCATGGGACCGCGTGGGGACTCCTGGGAGGGGCGCGTGGGGCCAGCCAGAAGTGGCATTTGGGGGTTCTCTGAACTGCACAGAATCTTAGCTAGAGTTTGTCCTGAACCTCTGCAAACCCCCAGCAGCCCACCCCTGATTGAGCCTTATGGGCAGCAAAAACGAACATTTTCCTACCGATGATCCATGTCGAAAGCCTCCTCAGGAATCCTGTAACATGTGGCCCAACACGAAACTTCAGTAATGCCATAAATATTAAAGAGTTGAGTTTTGTTTCCTTTTTCTTTCCAGCTTCTCAACACGCTAAGCGCAGGGCAGGCTTCTCCACCGAGAGCTAAGATTCGCAGGGAAGTATCCACAGTCAATACACTTGATCTAATATGTTCAACTCCAAATCTTTTCAAAAGAGTTGGTGTAGCCTGAAGAAAGCAGGATTCAAGGTTATTACAGCTATTCCTCGACTTTACAATAGTTTGTTTAGTGTCTGCTCAAATTTACAACGGCACTGAAAGAAGGGACGTATGACTTATTTTTCACAATCACAACAATTGCAGCATTCCCAATGCAATCCTAGGCTGCAATAACAGAGGAATAGAATCAAAGTCATGTGAAGTATTGGTATTACCCTTTATAAAGTTTTAGTAAAACCACACTTGGAAAACTCCATCTAGTTTTGGTCACCACAATATAAAAAAAAAGAAGTTGAGATTCTTGAAAAAGTGCCGAGAAGAGAGACAAAGATGATTAGGAGACTGGAGACTAAAACACTGAAGAATGTATGCTGTCTAGATTTGCCATAGCTTTCCTCCCCAGGATCAAGCATCTTTTAATTTCTTGGCTGCAGTCCCCATTTGCGATGATCTTGGAGCCCAGGAAAATAAAATCTGTCACTACCTCCATGTTAAGGATACTGGTGTTGTGTTACCAACCAGCAGAGTAAACGCACAAGGAAACGTTGCTGAGAGCAATGAATAAGAGATATGCAAACTGGTTTATCAAAAGCTTACTTTATAGTAGAAAAACAGTCTCATAGTCTTTAAACAAATTCCAAGTCCTTGCCAGTTAAATCAGTCCAGTACTTACAGATATCTTCTTACCAAACAAACATTAGTTGGTTAGAATAACAAACTCACTCTGGTTCACAAACCACGATGGTAGCAGATCCATCAAACGATGATTAGCAGATAGCAACTCCTCTCAATGGTAGCTTATCATAGCAGCTTCATCATTAATGGCAGTATATCATAGCAGCAACTGAACACGTTACAATACCTTGCTTAAATACTCTCACAACCAGTCATTACCTAATTACAGCATGACTCAGCATTACAATGAATACCTTTAAAGTAACATAATACATTTACAGATTAAAGTTACAGTACACTCATATTACCTGGACAACTAGTTAGGCTCAAACCATATCCTAACACTCCATTTCTTCCCCATCTATTTGCCAGGAATTGATCATGGCCGGAGGCCATGATCTTAGTTTTCTTAATGTTGAGTTTAAGTGCTACATACAGTACAGTATATTGACACAATTTTTTAATTCCTACAGACTGCATACGATAGCCTTGGGCTAATCTGCAATATAAATGGCCTTGGTAAGATTTCTCCTTATTCAAGCAAACAAGACAAGTGGATAGTTTAATTAAGGCTCCAAACAACAAGTTTCTTACCTGCAATACGGTCACTCTGTGCTTCTGGAAGAGAGCCCTGGATAACTGCTGTGGCATCATTTTAATCACTGTGGGTAGTATTAGCAGGCATGCCCCACTCGCCAGACTAATGAACAGGTCAATGACTGATGGATCAAAAGTCAAAGGAGAGGCCATAAACACTACGTCATCTGGAGTAATTTTAAAAAGCTCTCTAGAATAAGGAAAAAATACACATCTCTGAGAAATTAGATTTAGATGAAACTTTAAGCAGTTTTGCATATACCAAGTTAATCAGACTCTTTCTCCCGCTAACAAGTTATAAATCCTCCAATTCCACCTCTAATTCAGGTCAGCATTACACAAACTCTACACCCTGAAAGTCTGAGTTGCAGTCTAAGCAGCCCTTCTAAAAGTTGGGAGAATTATAATGAGATGAGCCCAGAATGAGATTCATTTCCAACATACATTATAGCTTTCCACACTTTTTTTTTGTCTAAAGGCGGAATACTTGCAAACCTTGGTAGTACAGTGGTCTAAGGCACCCTGTTATTAAGCTGGTTATTAAGACCAGCTGCCTGCAATTACTGCAGGTTCAAATCTCGCCAAGGCTCAAGGTTGACTCAGCCTTCCATCCTTTCTAAGGTAGGTAAAATGAGGACTCAGTTTGTGGGGGCAATAAGCTGACTTTGTATAAATATACAAAAGAATGAAGGCTATTGCTTAACGCACTGTAAGCCGCCCTGAGTCTCCGGAGAAGGGCGGCATATAAATCAAATTAAAAAAAACCCAAAAAAACAACAACCAAGATCTATGAGTTTATCTCAGATCTATTCCAATTATATAAGAAGCAAACAACTGGAAGTCCAACACAATTTATGCTATTGTTGCTCTTTTTGTTAACCTTTCCTTCTTATCAAAATATATCATTATCATCTTCATTTAATGACCTCATGATCCCTTACGGGGTGGAGTCTGGGCCAGTGGTGGGTTGCTACCGGTTCGCCCTGGATCAGGGGAACCGGTAGTGGCAGTGGAGGGTGGCTCCATCCACCCACCTGCCCGGACACTTCTGCGCATGCGTGCACGAGCGAACGGGTTGCAAACTAAATTAAAACCCACTATTGGTCTGGGCAACTGAATGGAGCTAGGAGAGTGTTTTAATGGCCGGATGCCATTCCTGTCACCAACGCGGAGTTTTGTTTAGCAGATATATTCCCAGTGTGCCCAGAGAGAGAAATATCTGCCTCTACCTAGGATCGAACTCACAGCCTCCTGACTGTGAGGAGAGAGCTCCATTTCTAGGCCACCGCACCACTCCTCTTATCAAAATATATGACTAAGTGTATATGGAAAACTTACCTAAGATGAAGGATATTTGGTACGATGCATTTATGAGGTACCCTCACAATTTTGGGGAGCCCTGTTGTTCCAGATGTGTGCAAAACATATGCCAGGGAATGTTTCTCTCTGACATCCAACAGATCTTTGGGTGCTCCAACATCATGTTGCTGTTCTTTACAGATGCTTCTGACCACAGAACTTTCACTATCTGCATTTACATATTTGGTCAACTGAACACCACTGTGGCTTTGGAAAAGAATTAAACCAATTCTCCTCATTTGAAGGGAATGTTGGCTGTACAAGTGTCCATAGGTTATTGTGAATTTCTGGAAACAAAAAAAGAAACTTATTCTAACACAACTTTCGCATGTTTACTTCTCTGTGTCTAGTCACAACGAATAAAGTCAAACAAATTTAGAGCAGCTAATCAAATACGATGCTTTTCAAGGGAATATGGTGTTTTGTTTTGTTTTTTAACCCAAAGTGATTCTGCAACAAGTGCAAAAACTAGGAACACACTGTGGTTGTTACGGTAGTGTTGTGGCCCGTCAGCGGCCTGTGCAGCTAGTAGCTGATTCCGACAGCGAGGAGGCTGGTATGGTGCTGCGTCAGCAGCCTGTGCAGCTGGCACTCGAGTCGGACAATGAGGAGGCTGGAGAAGATGTGGTGCCAGAGGTGGGGATTCAGCCAGGGCCTTCAGAACCTCCAGAAGCTTCCATGGGTGAAGAGGAAGAAGAGGAGGAGCCTCTTCTCAATGCACGGGCGCTCAGAGCTGCCAAAAGGCAGGAGTGGCTCCTCAGGAGGAGGTCTCCTCGAGAGTAAGGCTTGGGGCTAACTGGCCACTTCCTTAGCCTATTTAAGGAAGGACGACAACTGAGGCAATTTGCAGGGAACAACTTCATTCATTCTCCTTCGCATCTTGCTCTTAGTTCTCTGCAAATTGCTTCTGGGCTTTCTGCCAATCCTAGTAAGATTACGATTATTTATTCTTTGGATTCTTGTACGCTGTTAAGAAAGTTAATTAATAGCCTTTGTTTGAAAAAGACTGATTTAATTTAGTAAACTAAGGTTTGTACAGACTTTGTGTGTGCTGCGTTCCTTGGGGTCCATAGCTGGGGCAGAACAGGTAGGACAACAAGATTTGGGCTGCAAAACTCCAAATGATCATTAATGCAGAATACAGGTAGTCCTTGACTTATGACCACAATCGAGCCCCAAATTTATGCTGCCAAGTGAGCTATTTGTTAAGTGAGTTTTGCCTCATTTTACAACCTTTCTTATCACATTTATTAAGTGAATCACTGCAGCTGTTGAGTTAGTAACACGGTTGTGAAGTGAATCTGGCTTCCCCATTGACTCTGCTTGTCAGAAGGTCGCAAAAGGGGATCACGTGACCCTGGGACACTGCAACCCCGTCATAAATGTAAGTCAGTTGCCAAGCAACAGATATTTTGGACATAAAATGTGAAAGAAAGAGTTATTGGAGAAGACCTTCATAACTGGGGAGGGAAAAAGAAAGCAATTGAAAAAGAAGTTGAGAGAAGGCAAGATGGTGGGAGATACTGAACATACTGTAAGCTTTTTTTTTTAATTAATGGTTCAATCATGTCTGATTCTTGGGAGACTGTCTGGATAAAATCCTGTAGTTTTCTTGGCAAGATTTTTCAGTACAGTTTGCCATTGCCTCTTTCCTAGGGCTGAGAGAGTGATTGGCCTAGGGTTACCCAGCTTTGTGTGTAAGGTTCTCCTGGTTGTTAGCCTTCTACTTTAATCACTATAGGTCAGGGGTGGGCAACTGTGGCCCTTTTACAACCTGTGGACTTCAACTCCCAGAATTCCTGAGACAGCTTGGCTGTCCACAGGTTGTAAAAGGGCCACAATTGCCCACCCCTGCTATAGGTAGTCCTTAACTTACAACCACAATTGGAACCAGATTTCCAGTATAAGTTGTTAACAGTTGTACGTTCAGGCATCTACGTGACTAGACCTGATTTTAAGTGAATCATCACGGTCATTAACTGAATCGTCAGTTGTTAAGCAAGCACCATGGTCGTAAATGCGATCTGAATGGATATTTTTTTTTGTCAGAAACTGACAAAAAAAATGGCAGAAATTGACAAAATGCATCACAAATTGTTGTCATGTGACTCTGCAATTAGTCGTAAAGGTGTGCGGGAGGCAAGATATTTTACAATGACCAGAAGTGCCCATTCTGGGCTCATCGTAATTTCAAACAGTTATTGAGCAGGTGTAATGAAGTCATAAGGTTGTAAACCAAGGATTACCTACTGTGGTACCTTGGTACTCAACATTAATTGGTTCTGGAAGGCATGATGAGTTCAAAAAACAATAAATACCAAACATTTTTTTCCTATGAAGGAATAATATAGTGAGTCACAAGGCAGCCAACAACTGATAGGTTCTAGCTTGTGCATTGAGTACCAAACAAACAATGAGTACAGGGGAAACATTTTTTGCATCAAAATGCATTAAGTACCACATTTGATGAGTTTCAAAGCAGTTGAGTACCAAGGAACCACTGGATATAATTATGTTACTTAAAATTCTATGGGTTTACTTCATTGTACATATATTATTATTATTATTATTATTATTATTATTATTATTATTATTATTA